CTCACTCACTGTCTCACTCACTCTTATTCATTCACTCTCTTACTCACACCCACTCACTCACTCTGTCACTCCCTCATTCATTCACTCATTCACCCAGTGTCTCATTCATTCGCTCACTCATTCTAACTCCCTCACTCACTCTTACTCATTCACTCTCTTACTCACACCCACTCAATCACTGTCTCACTTGCTCCCTCACTCACTTACTCACTCACTCACTCATTCACGCTCACTCATTCTAACTCCCTCTCTATTACTCATTCAGTCTCTCACTATCTTTCACCTTTCTCAACCATGCACTCTCAGCTCACTCACCCACTTACTCTCTCACTCACTTTAAATTTTTTCACTCACTTGCTCACTCTCACTCACTTCTTTAACTCTCTTATTTACTCTCTCACTCATTTGCTCATTGAAAAGAACTGTATTAGATGTGGAAAGATATTTTTGTGAACAACACTAAATGTATATATTTGTGTGTGAATGAATGTGTATGAGTGATGTGTGATAGGTTTCTTAAAGGCTGCAGTTCCTCTAGTCAACAGCAGATGGAGACAGATGTGCAAAAATAGAGCATTTGCGTCGACAGTGTGCATCTCTGAAAACAGCTATACGTTAAATTCAAGTTTATCCAATTGAAGTTTATTTGTACAGCAGTTTTTGCAACAGTTCTCCCAAATAAGCCTTTCAGAATTGGGGGTTCAGACCCCTAACAGACTGAGACAAGTCTGCAGATGAAATTGGAATGTAGCATATGGACCATATGGTTTAAACCCTTTACACTTCCACTGACCACTTTAAACAGTTCTGACTTTTAAAGAGTCAAAACAAATCTGCAATCCTGAAATTCTCACTTGAATACAGTCTGGCCTTCCGCTCTTTCAGTCTGATGAGTCATATGGGTGTTGGCTTTGGACTGTAGGCAAAGTTCTTTTCCAAGAGATTGGAGCAACCATGCACTCTTAAAACGAAAGTGCCAGAAGGAGTTCTTTGTGCAAAGCTGTAGAACAACCACTTATGGAACTTTCCAGTGAGTGGTTCATTGAGGAATCTTTTTTATAAGTGAGGGGGGTGAGTGTGAAGAACATTTTTATAGTTTAAAGAGCCTCCATGTAATGAAAAGATTCCAGAAAGATCCCTTAAATTCACAATTTTCTAATCTCATTTGCAAAAATGGCTCTTTGGGGAACCAAAAGATGGTCTTTTTTGGCAAAGAACCTCTTGTGACACATTTATTTATAAGAGATCGACTTCTTCTCTCATCAAAGGTCACACTTCAGTATCAGTACCAATAGAGTCATTCCAGAAATTCATCACAGGACACTGTGTATTTAGCCTGAGCCAAAAGTGTAGACTAAACTCTTTACCAGCCTGGTGATGCTTGACTCAATCTAAGACAACTTACAGAGGAAGCTCATGAGTTTCAGAATGGTTTGATAAAAAAAATAAAAAACAACTTCCTTTCCTTTCTGTAACGAGATTCAACCATACTCAACCTGAAACCTTTGATTTTGCTAGGCTAAATGTAAAAGCAGTAGTTTTAGCCCAAAATTGAATATACACAATTTTTACCACATCCGTTAACTGTAGTCATGTCTGAAATTTACTTCTTTAGATTTTCACTGAAGCTAATGTAGCTAATGTAGCTAACAAGTGGTGCAAGGTAAACCCCTACAAGTTAGCATCACACACTGGCCTCAAACCATTTTGAGTTGTTATGTAATCTGTAATGAGTCGCTTATGTGGTTTCTGACACTTTATGACATTGTGTTATCTATATAAATGGAAAAAATATGGACGAAATTCAGGCTTCAAGATGCTGCCAGTACTGTTTAGCTATGCTAAATACATTTGTCTACTCATCGCTCAAGTGATGAGGCACAGTTTGCAGGGTGATAATTAATGTACAGTACTGGGCAAAAGTCAAAGGGCACCCTTCACTTATTTACTTTCCAGTCAAAACACACATCATGCACAAGTTATTCATTTTTCTGGAGATATTTGTGAGAAGATCAGATATGACATAAGGAAGGAGAAAATCAAGTGAAAAAACAAGAGTTTTCAAAACTGGAGTTCAAAAAAAGTGATTAAAAGCTACAGAGAAAATGAGACTCCTAACAACCACCTGGAAGAGCTGGTAGACACCAAAACTGTCCCCATCAGATAAACAGCACTCAAAGCTTTCATCTCTGAGAGAGAGGAGAAAATCAAGCTCCACTCTGGATTCAGATCTGAAAACATCCTCAGGAGTTTCTGTCCATCCTTCCACTGTGAGACACTCAGCACTATGAGTCTGAAGGATGTGTAGCTGTTAAGAAGCTCTTACTGAGAAAAGGAGACACATCAAACAAAGAAGCTGCTGGTGTTTCTCAGAACAATGGACTGACCAGCCCAGTCCAGACCTCAACATCGCTGAATGTGTTTGGGATTATTTGGATCATGAGAAGGAGAAAATCCAACCAACTTCGAAGACTGAACTTTGGAGGTATGAACAAATGTCCCTGCAGATTACTTTCAAAAACCGAAAGCAAGTTTACTGGACAGAATGGAAGCTGTAATGAAGACAAAGAGTGGACACACTAAATCCCATGTGTCAAACACAAGGCCTGTGAACCAGATCAGGCCTTCTACACAATTCTTTCTGGCCCACAGAAGTATTTTAATTTTCTGTTCATATTAGCCCGTTTCACAATGTGCTGCACAACAGTCCCCAGCATGCTCTGCAATGTTATGTGCTCACCGACTCTCCTGCCCCAACAACAATTTATGGGACAGCAGTTACACCTCAATTCCACACAGTTCCACATCAGTGATATCACCAAACACACTTACTGCAGTTCAGCTGCAGTTCAACCAACATAAACACTCAACGTTTCCTCAGCAGCTCAGACATTGAGCCCAAGTCTTAATGAACTTGCAGCCAAGACAGGATGCCAGGTGTCTAGTTTAAGCAGATAGGTAGGTTTAAAAGACTGAGCTCCTGGGGACTTTTAAACTTTGAATATTTTAAGTGTCCATGCAATATTTCAAGGTCTACTACAGTTGCCTGTATTTTACTGTTGATGTTTTTGCCAATTTTTTCAATAAACAACGGTCAGTTGAGGTTACAGCACAACATTAATTAACAATGAAATAAAAACAAATTTTTTTCTCTGGCCCACAGATTTCTTGCGATTTTCTAATATAGTTTGACACCCCTGCACTAAATACTGAAAAAATATATATTTAGTTGTTGAAGTTTCTGTGTAATTTTCTGTTAAATATGTTTTTTTTCCTGCTTATTTCTGACACTGGAAAAGGAATAACTGAATTTGAAGGAAAACTAAATAAATGAAGTGTGTGTGTGTGTGTGGGACTTTTTCAAAGTACTGCACATAATTTTCCATCACTTGTTAACTACATTAGCCTTGTAGTTCCAGTGCAAACTGAAAGAACCAAACATATCTTGGCTGACTGTATTTGGGGCAAACTGTATGTGAGGTAAACTATTCCTTAAGGAAGCTAATTTGAAACCACATAACAATGAAATGTATCGTCTCGCAAAAGCAAAACTTTATTGTATTCGGGTGCCACACAACCAGGATGGTTCATAATATACAGAACTCTCAAAACATGCAACTTTTGCATACTATTTTAATAAGTTAGACAACACATACTACATTCAAACAAGGTCGTTTGCACCTCCCCATACATTTTCAGTTGTGTTAACATCCCTCCCAACACCAAACATGAAGATATGAAGACCAGTGTCTCATGTATGAGAGAGAGAATATGCAGTGGAACTCTACCTTCCTGCAGACTTTCAGCTCCAACCCCAAAATCTAGCCTCATTCAGCCAATCAAGTACCTCTAAATTCATTGGCTGGACCGGGTGAGGTGAATAATAAGAGTGTGTAAATGCACTGATCTCAAGATTTAAGCAAGTTGGAATAAAGCTCTGGAATAAAGTGCTATCTTCACATGTAAAAATGATAAAATGTTATTGTATTGTTGTTATTGTCTATATTTCACTACTGTGTAAACACTTCCTCAAGTCACATTTGTATATTCTGTGTATTTCTTAAAATAATTCTGAATAAAAATAGTTCAAACTGGTGAAATTTGAGGCTTGCTTAAGTGAATTCTTCCCCAAAGAATCAAATCAAAATTAAGTGAATCATTTTTACCCTTGAAAAATGCAGTGAATTAACTTGATCGATCATTTTCACATGAATAAAGCATATTACATCAGCACAACTGTTGCCAAAAAAGAGCAAACTGAAAGTCAATGTTATGTTGATAAAATATATCGGTAACACTTTCTATGAATGTCACCTTTGTAAGCATCTATAAACACATTTATAACATGTTATAATGTATTCAAAAGGCATTATAAACATGGTCATAAATTTTCATAAAAAAGAATTACACTGAATTACACTTTATAGCCATGTTTATTATACATTATGAATTGTTAATATAATGCATTATAAATAGTGTTAATAACATGTTATAATGTCTGTGCCAAAGAAGTCAGTCTCAGCTTGGAGAGCACATAGTAAAGACAAATACCAAGCTAACGGTGGTGTACATTGACTTTTTCCACGTTGGGTAAAACACTGATGGCAGCACTAGTTTAATATCTGACATTTGAAGCCTGTAATGTGCTTTATTGTGTATGTTTTAGTGTTTCAGTAAATCCTTCAGTAAATACTTCAACTTGAAGCCTCACTCTTAACACTGGAGGAGGCTTTAGTACAGTACGCTTCACTTTACTTAGAGCGGTCAAATACAACTATGAGCTCTTATAATTTGTTATGATCAGTACTTATAATGTATTATGTTAACAATTCATAATGCATAATAAACATGGCTATAATGTATAATGCATTTTTATAAATATTTATAGCTATGTTTATAATGTCTTATGCATGCATTATAACATGTTATGAATGCGTTTATAGATGCTTACAAAGGTGACATTCATAGAAAGTGTTACCAATATATCTTTCATGTGGAAATGATGGGCGCATTTAAACGAGGCCAATTCAATGCATTACGTCTTTCAGTGTAGTGGACGAGGGTTGAAGCCAAAACTCTGCAGGAAGCGGGGCGGCTGATCAGCACAGGTAGAGATGTTCTTCAGCAGAGGGAGCTGATCTCACTCTTGCTGCAGCCCCATTTGCAGCAGGCGTTGGACAGGCCCACCACTACGTCCCGCCCCTTCCTGTCAGAGGTGCGTAGGGCCTCCAGGACTTCATCAGAGATGAGTGACCGTGCGGGCCGGGCGAACATGGGACCCTCCGGACTCTCAGGGGCCCAGTCGGGGGTCTCAGAGTCAGAGTGAGGCTTGTAGGAGAGTGCAGAGACAGCGTTCGAGCTCCAGCTGTCAGAGGCCTCGTCGTCATGAGCGGACAGGAGGTCACTGGACAGGTCTGCTGTGAGAAAAAGGAGAGCAAAAGAGTTTTAGCAACAAAGTAGATAGACTTGACAACTCTACAGTCTCAGTTCCTGCTCGGCTTGTCAAAAGTACACTTCGGGGCAGATTTACTAACGTTTTGCTCAACTGCAAACCACACTTTGTCATTAAAAAGGGTTACGATTTATTAAATAGGCGCAAAGGCCAAATAGTGGCTATAATAAAATCTAAAGGGCGGAACTGTTCTCTTGTACTTTTGCCTTCTTTTATATGCATTTATAGGCGGGTGGAGATTATTATAATGAAGCACCTACTCAGATTCAACGACACTGACAGTAAATACTGCCTGTGCATTTTTGAGTCAAAATTTCTACATAAATCAATCATTGGGATGTAAACAAAGTTATTCAGAGTGATTTGATGTGAAACCGTCTGTTGCAGAGAAACGTAATGACTCTAATGTCTTTACAGTGGTGGTGATAGGAACCAGAGGTTGCAAGGTATACAATACAAATATATCCTTTTTATTTACTATCCAAAACCACCAGTGAGCCTACACATATATTCTTTTATATGTAATGTTAACAACAGTAAAACAAATAATTGCCAAAAATAAGGGTTGCTGGGGTACTATTTTACCTCATTGAACCCTGCTTGTATCCCTTTGCCATGTATGTTTTTTAATAAATACATTTTATTAAAAAACATACATGGCAAAGGGGTACAAGCAGGGTTCAATGTGGTAAAATAGTACCCCAGCAAATTTAATTTACACCAAAACATGTCTTGAAACTGTTCAATGCATTAGGCAGTGTTTCATAATCCTTTCATGTAATAACTTTCTTTGATTGAGCTTTTAGAGGCATTAAACTCTTCAGACATCTGGTTCCTATCACCACTATAAACAATTCTGAATCAGTAAACTTCTCTAGAATGGAGCATTTCACACCAAACCATTCTGAGCGACTTTGTTTATGACAGAATTATGCTGTCCTAACAGTTGAATTATGCAAAAATTTTGAAAAAAAAAAAAACCAGTAGAATTCCCCTTAGGTTGTTTCTAGAGCTGGTATAAGTTACTTAAAGGTGTCTGCTACTTCACCAAAGTGCCTATATATAACAATAACATGTCCAATCTATATCATATTACTTGTAAGTACCTATATATATATCCGTATGTTCTACAAGTATTGTAACTCACAATATGCCCCATGTGTATTATACATATATATGTATTGTATGTCTCACCTGCCATGCCGATGGATCGTCTCCAGCGCGAGCCTCCGCAGGTGAAGATGACGGCTCTGATGAACTCTCTTCCACACAGCTTCACTCCGTAGATGGGATGACCGTCAGTGGCCTGCACTCGGCTGGCTAATGCCACCAGCAGGCAAAGGGTCAGCACTACTTCTTTATACATGACAGCAGCAAAAGCCAAACGGCTAGGCACAGCAATGAAACTATAAGCGAACTTGCTATGAATAAGAGATAGTAGCCAATGTGTGGCAAAAGAGCTAAAGAGTTAAATCGAAAAGATGTGGACAATCAGAAGAAGCTGGCAGGTACCACTAAACCTACTTTATTGCTTTCCTTTCAGTTTGGAAATGCTGTCTTTGGGTTCCTCAGCATCCTGGAGGCTCTTTTATAGTTCCTCGGGGCTCCAGCGTGACCTATTCGTGCCCAGTGTCAGTCAGGGAGGCAGTGATAGCAGGTCTGATAGTGGCAGAGACCTTTAGCCGGACAAAGGGCCGTCCAACAACCGTTGTAATTAACCCAGACCCAGTCAGAGGGGTTATGTCAGAGGAAACAACCTAATCTCACTGCTCGTGACCTTTCTGACAACACAAGGAGCTCAAACACACCAAGTTACCTTCATCGCTATCAAGAAAATCCTACTTCTTATATCCATGTTTTCGACAAAAATCACATTTACAGCCACCTCCAATGTAGGAGCCAAGACATGTTTGGCATCTGAATTCTTGATTCTTTACTTTTATACTGGAGCTACGAGGCTAATGTAGCTAACAAGTAACAGAAGTTTACGCTGCATGTTGTTCTGAGCTTGGCAAGATCTGGAAATATGAGATTAATTATCTTGTTTTAAAAGTTATTTACTAGTGTTTGCCTTGAATTGATCCTGAATTTTTATTTAGTCTTTTATATAGTTTTCATTCAGACATATTTTTCTCTCTGATGTTCAAACATTATAACTTTTTTATTGCTCTTTAACGGTCCAATGTGTCTCTCTCTCTCATTCTCTGTCTCTCTGTTCAGTCGTCAATAAATGTTGATGGAAATTTCACTTGCATTCCTGGTTGTGATTTCAGAAAAATCAGTTTTCTGTTTTAAAATGTATGCTCTGAGATTAAGGACTAGTTTTAAGTTAGATATGGGTTTAGGCCTACCTATTTCAAGTGGAGCCAACTTGTTTCAAGTAACAGCATAATTATAATCAGACTCAGAATCACTTTATTTCACCAAGTATGTTACACGTATGAGGAATTTGTCTCGGTGAGTGCACACATGTATGATATGTAACATACTGAACCAGACAAGCACACAGACTTATAATAAGGTTTAACTAAGAGAAAAATACAAAACAACAATAAATAGAATAAGAATATGAAATAAAGAGTAATAAATTCAGTCCCACAAGATTTCATCCCGCTCCCGCCCGCCCGCACAGCCCCATCAAGGTGAACTGAAATCCAATATCTGATGCAATCTGTTCACAAATACTTACGTCTAATGGGTGGACCGAAGTGTCGCGCAGTCTCTTCTTGACCAATCAGAGAGCCCGAGCGCAGCAGCCTCTCAGCTCACTCATTTGGCTGCCGGTGGTTATGCTGCTCTGTTTAATAGTAAACGTCAACTTGCTCGTTTACTTTGTTTGATCTATTAGCTCATAACTATACTGTTCTGATGGCTCTGGCCTCAGCTCTGTTACTGTTGTTGTCACCGTCACTGATAGCTCTTTGTTTACTGGGTGACGTTAACGTCTGTTTGTTCTAAATGTTTCGGGCTGGTTTCCTCTGGGAGGAAGAATTTGTGTGTTGTTCACGTGATCGGCTGCTTCACAACTCTTTACAATGACTTCATTCATTTTAACTGTTTCACTGTTTTTGTTTCTGTGTTGTTTATATATATGATTTAGTGATCGTTATGCTTTATTTAGGCTATTTATTAATTTTCGGGATTTCTATTCATGCATGCTTTGGCCCGCTCCCGCTTACAAGGTTGTTTATTCCTGCCTGCGAGCAACACTGAAAATTGGCCTCTAATAAAGAGCCATGGAGAGGAGTTAAATAGACATGTGAATATATATATATATATATATATATATATACACATATATATATATATATATATATATATACATACACACACACACACACATATATATATATATATATATATATATATATATATATATATATATATATGCAGATTTGAGCAGAAAAAACTTTTAAGTACATAAATTAATGAACCTTTGTAAAAAGTTTACACCTGTACAGCTGTGCAAATAAGCACTATGTTACAGAGGAGTTACTGTAATACAGTAAGGAGGTTTGTTGGTTTAGTTTAAGTTTAAAGTGTGAGGTGTTCAGTGTTTTTGATAAGCTACAGCTCTGGGGAAAAAGCTGTTAGTATGTCTGGTTGTGCTGGCTTTGATGGCCCTGAATCTTCTACCAGAAGGAAGTGTCTGTAAGAGGTGATGTCCAGGACGAGAGGGGTCAGCTGTAATTTCACCAGCACACTTCATGCTGCTGTTGTAGATGTCCTGAAGTATTGGAAGACTACATCCAATGAGCCTATCTGCTGTCCTGATTATGCACTGTCAAGTTCTTGTGAGGTGGAGGAACCAAACCAGATGGTTATGGATGATGTGAAGATGGACTCGATGACCGCTGTCTAGAACTGGATCGTCAGGCTCTGCGGCAGGTAGATTTTTTTCTCGGGAAGAACGTTCCCTGCTGTCCTTTCTTGGCAATGGAAACCATGTTCCTCTCCCACTTCAGGTCCCTGGATATGGTGGTGCCCAGGAACTTGAGTGAATCACAGTGGAAGCCACAGAGCCGTTGATGTTGGGAGGGTGTAGGGTAGAGAGGGTTGTGCTTGAAGTCCACCAGCATCTCTACAGTCTTTTATGTGTTGAGCAACAGGTTGTTGCTGCTGCATCAGGACACCAGCTGCTTGACTTCCTTTCTGTAGGCAGACTCATTACTGTTGGCTATGAGGCCCAACACAGTGGTGTTGTCTGCAAACGTCAGGATCTTCAAAGCTGGTTCCTTAGAGACACAGTCATTGGTGTAGAGGCTGAAGAGAAGGGGCAAGAGCATACAGCCTTGTGTCACACCAGCACTGAGAGTCCAGGGGTCTCCTGTTTGTCAGGAAATCCATGATCCATCGGAAGATCTGGCACAGACAGCTGGGACAGTTTGACCTGCAGCAGCTCTGGCACTATGGTGTTGAATGCTGAGCTGAAGTCCACAAACAGAGCTCTAGCGTAGGTCCCAGGACTGTGCTCTAGCATGAAGTGTAGGGTCAAGTTGACCGTGTCGCAGACAGACCTGTTTGCTCTGTACGCAAACTGCATGGGATAGAGGGTTTGCGGATGGCCTTCAGGTGGGCTGGGACCAGGCGTTCAAAGACCTTCATGACTATAGAGGTCAGAGCTACTGGCCTGTAGTCATTAAGTCCAGTAAAGTTTGATTTTTAAGGACTGGAATGATAGTGGATGTTTTAAAGCACGTGGGAACAGAGCAGTTACAGTAATTTGTTGAAGATGGTGGTGAAACTCAGCACTAGATGGTCACAGCAGTGCCTTAGGGTGGATGGACAGACACCACCTGGCGCTTTTCTCGCCTTGTCTGCTAAAAAGGCTGTTAATGTCCTGCTCGTTGATGGTGAAATGAGCAAGAGTTGCAGCTATTACATTTGCCACCAGACTCTCTCTAATGCTTCATCTCACAACTTTGCTGGATAAAGCTTTGTAATATACGTGTAAGTAGGACTATTTGATTCTTAAAGGTGAGCTTGGCTTCCCACCTGTTTGTTTATCTCAGTTTTTCTTTCTGCATGTTTTTAACGTGATGCCCAGAAAAAAGCACAATTTAAATATATAAACACTGACTACGGCCTAACTATTTGACCCAGTCCTAAATCATTTCCTTGAATGTTTGGAGAAAGAATCTGTCCTCTCTGGTGGTTTCGGGATATGTAGGTGGTTTAATGGCGATGGCTTCCGTAGCAAGTTACATACTGTTGTCAGCAAAACTATAAAGCAAAACCCGATGTGCCCTGAAACATAAGGAACTTTGCGTGTATGTGGCATTTAGAGAGGCGTGGTACTTTAAAGGTCTCCTTCTGCATGTGGCAGTACATATCTAATGTCAGAAAAGATATTTGGTGACCTTCCTCAGATTGCAGTAACAAACAGGTTATAAAGAAGCATCTACAGAAGATCAGGGGTGAACCGTAGGCCTGTGTGTAGCACGGCCTCCTGTACAGAGCCTATTATGAGAACAGTGAGAAATGAACTGAGGTTTTGGATGGAAAAGTGCAAAGAAAAGCACAAAAAAGGTGGGGGGGCTGAGAGACGATCAGACGTCACAGGCGCAATATGTCATCCAGGGTCACTTGACCTGCTCTGACATTTCAGGATAAAGATAAGAGAGCAACGTGAAAGGGGAAATGGGGTGAGGGGGTCGTGTATGTGTGTTGATTTGTCATAACTCGGTAATCCTATAGCTTCCTATCAGCAATCCCCCCCAGAGCTGCTCATGTGTGAAATAACAAAGCTTTGTGAAATTGATTTAGTAATTTGGCATTCAGAGAGATAGGAAGGGACGGCTATGTGTTCAAAATTGTTTTGCGCGTCTTCTTCCTCGTCCTTATCGTACTGATATACAAGACAGTAAATACTGGAAGATGCACGAGTCTAATTAAAAATGTCAGCGTGTTGAAATACTGTCTCCTTCCAGCAGGTTCATCTATATTCATATGGATTTCTGAGGCTAAGTTTTAACCACCGCCTCTAAAAGTACATGCTTACCCCCCCCTTCAAAACTGTTTATACATTCTTTCTCACTACTTATAATTAAACTGAATGCGTCTTACCTGAAGATATCATCTTAAAGGGGAACTCCACCAATTTTTCTAAATTTCTTCCGTTCTAGAGAAACCTACCGAGTCAGAATTGTTCACAGTGGTGGTGATAGGAACCAGACGTCTGAAGAGTTTAACATCTCTAAAAGCTCCATCACATATCACATACTACATGAAGTGCTTATGAATACACTGCCTGATGCCTGAGACATTGTTTAATGAAAGTTTTGGCCTAAAATGTCTTAATACCCCATTTATTTTAATCCATTCACGGAGGGGTACATGTAGGGCGTTGTAAGGCAACATAGTCCCCCCCGAATAACTTATTTTTCATATTTTCATTGTAGAGAAACTTATAGACTCACAGTGGTGGTGATAGGAACCACAATGTCTACGACAGAAATATAACCATATTACTTACTATCCAAAACCACCAGTGACTGTAACATTGATGATGGTAAAATAGGCAAATCTGAGAAAAATATATTTTTCAGGCATCAAATTCATAATCATTTCATGTTATAATTTTCTGTGATGGAGCTTTTAGAGGCATTAAACTCTTTAGATGTCTGGTTCCTATCATCGTTGTAAGGCAACATAGTCCCCCCAGATAACTTATTTTTCATATTTTCCTCTATTTTACCATCATAAACATCACATATAAAAACTTAAAAGACACTTGTAGGTTCACTATTGGTCTGGGATAATAAATAAAATGGCTATTTTTGTGTTGTAGACATTGCAACCCCCTATCACCAGAATAGAATGAACCACTTCACATCAAACACCTCTAAACGACTTTGCTTGTATCTCCACGACTGAGTTATACGGAAACTGTGAAAACTCGGGAGGATTTCCCCTTTAAGCGAGACGTTTGATTGAGTTGAACGTTGTTGGGCGAACAAGGGGCGTGTCCTCCTTGCGTAATAACAAGGGATGACTGACAGGCGCCTGTCACGAATGCGCGCACGGCTCGCCCGAGCCGTCCAATCAGAGGGAGGAAGGAGCGACGGGTCACGCCAATCAGAGCGGAGACGGAGGCGGGACTAGGGCGGCGGGTGGGTAGCAACAGTTGCCCCGGTGAGGACGAGGCGCCATAGTCACGGTAGCCCTGGCGACAAGAACCAAGCAACGGGAATCAACAACAACAACAGCCCGATCCGCTAAAGAGCGAGAAAAGAAAAAACAAACAAGTAAGCGACAAAACTGAGACACATTTCAGCGGGAGGAGAGGGGCGAAGGTTGCAGTGTTGTTTTGTGCCGACTCTTGCGCTTGAGAAGGGAAAGTAGCGAGTGTTGCGCGCCGTAGTTTCTCTCCTAGCAGCAGCAGCAGAAGCGCTTTTTTGAGCCGGAGCTAGGCGGCGGAGGTAACGAGATCCGGTTGTTATGACGATCCGCGATAGTGGTACAAGATGGCGGGTGTTGGAGAGAGTGTTGGACTTTCACTTGTTGCCCTCTTCTTTTTTTTTAACCTGCGAAGCAGAAGTTGGCTTCTTTTTCGAATTTCCCGTTCCACCTTAAATGGTGCAGCAGTAACATTCAGGCGCCTGAGGCCAGAGAACGTAGTTAACTGCTGCACCGTTTAAGGTGGAACGGGAAATTCGAATGAGAAGCTGGCGAAAAAGAAGCCAACTTTAGCCTCGGTTTTCTCGCGGTGGAGAGTTTCATTAGAGACCATCTCGACCACTTAAAGGCTGTGTGTTTCTCTTAGGATCACGTGTCAAATGGCGCACTTGACAATCTTGACACAGAAATCACTTTGTCGTTCCGTTTTTCTTCGCGTCTCTTTTTCTTTTCCTGCCTCTCCGTTTTCTCACTTTTACTTTCGGACGCTCGCTTTGTGGCAAACGCTGCCTGAGTTTTTCTGTTGCCTGAAAAAAGTTTTCGTCTAAAGGCCATATGCTCGCCAGATCAGCGCGGTCAGTAAGGGAGTGGAAAGTGGGAGTGTCCTTTCTGCGAAGTGGGCGTGGTCGGGCGATGGGCGTGATTGACGCTGTTCACATCCAATTGAGTTTCAGTATCAGTGCAGCGTGAAAGAAGTTGCTAAATAAGCTGCCAGCTGGGGTTTTGCCTGAGATCTTACCTGCTCCAACAAGAGGGGTGTTTTTTTTGCGTTGCTAGCTTCTTTACATTCTTACTTAAAGGGGAATTCCACCCATTTTTGAAAAATTCTGTATAGTTAAGTCACTGAGATCATTCGGAGTGGTTTGATGTGAAATTGTTCGTTATAAAGAAAACGTACCAGGTCCAATTTCATTACAGTGCTGGGAACCAGACGTTTACCATGGCTAATAGGGCCATAACACACACGTAGACATTTAATTTACTGTCCAAAACCACCAGTGAACCTACACGTGTCTTCTGAGGTTTTCATGTAATATGAAATTTTGAAATGACACTTTTTTGGGGGAACTATTTTGCCTTAGAATGACCTGATATATCCCTCCACCTTAAATAGATTAAACATATCATGTATTAACTTGCTGTGAGGGAGCTTTTACAGGTGGCTGTCTGGTTCCTATCACCACCACTGTGAACAGTTCTGACTCTGTAAGTTTCTCTAGAACAGTGTTTCACACCAAACCACTCTGAATGACTTTGTAATTATGCAGACATTTTGAAAACTTGGTGGAGTTCCCCTTTAATCTATCTCCTTTCTTGCTTTTTCTGTAATGTTTTAACAGACAAACTCTGTCCACCTCCCATTACCGACAGCCTCATATGATAAATGTTATAATGTAACGTGGCACGTTGGCTTATTCATCGTTGGCTTATTCATCGTTGGCTTACAGATGTTTTTTTTGAGCTATGAAATTCAGTCATAAGAATTCCATCACAAGACTGGGCAAGTAAACACTGCCTGTTTGCACCTAATTTAACGTTAAAAGGGGTGCATTGTAAAACCAGTTCGACAAGCTTCAGACAACGTAGTGTCTTAAAGTCTCCTGTCTTGTGTTGCCGGTGTTTTTGTGAAAGAAAGAAAGAATATACTTTTTAATTCAGGTCAGAGTTGCTCACTAAAAGCCTAGTAACTCATTGGATTCATATGCAGATCTGTCAGTACTGACACTAATGATTTAAAAGGCCTGTCTCTGCAGACATTAAAAGTAGTTTAAATCCTCCCCCCCAGCTAAGACATGTTTGGTGTTTTGGTTCTAATTGTAAGTTTGCTTCTTTAATTTTGCACTGGAGCTACGAGGCTAATGTAGCCAACAAGTAATGGAAGCTTCTACCCCAGGAAATAGCATTATTGCTTCAAACCGTGCTTAATGATCTCAAATGAAAATAAAAATAGGTAACAGTACAGACAAGATGACTGCGCCTACCGTTTGTTTGCTATGCTAATGTCCTTTTGTTAATTTTTATAGATAACTGTATGTCATACAGTGTCAGAAACCACATAAGCAAGTCTGTTACAAATGACTATTTCAGGGAATTCCATCGATTCCTGCATATTTCAACGGTTGAGATGTAAACGGAGTCATTCAGAGTGATTTGGTGTGAAATGCTCAGTTCTAAAGACACTTACAGAGAATTGTCCACAGTGGTGGTGAAAGGAACCAGACGTCTGAAGAGTTTAATGCCTCTGAAAGCTCCATTATTGAAAGATATTGCAGGAAATGAATGAATGTGTAATTTTACCATCATCAATATTACATATAAAATTTAAATGACATGTAGATTCATTGATAGTTTTGGATAGTAAATAATTTACTGCATAATTCAGCAGTTGAGATCTAAACAAAGCCATTCAGAGTGGATTGATGTGAAATGATTCACGGTAGAGAAACTTACAGACTCTAATTTCTTCACAGTGGTGGTGATGGGAACCATAATGTCTACACTAGAATACCACATTATTTACTATCCAAAACCACCAGTGAATGTAACATTGATGATGGTAAAATAGTGGCAAATAGATTTTTCAAGCATCAGTCATCAAATTCATAATCATTACATGTAAAATCTTTCTGTGATGGAGGTTTAGAGGCATTAAACTCTTTAGATGTCTGGTTCCTGTCACCACCACTGTGAACAATCCTGGTTCTGTAGTTTCTTCAGAAAGGAGCTTTTTGCATCAAAAAACTTTGAAAGACTTCATGAATAATCTACCAGTGTCTGAAAAAGTCTACAGAATTCCCTTTAAACTTAGATCAAAAATAAGAACCTGTTTTTCCTTCTCCTGTGAAGCTACAGTTGAGGTTTTGTTATGACAGTGATGAAATATAGGAGCAACATTACATCCCTGACTAAAAAAAAAAGAATATTTTGGCATCAGTTCACTATTGTCAGTTTCAGTGTCAGGTTTCCTCTTTATAAGTCCACCCCTCACACACACACTGCACACAGGCATTGTTGAAAGTCCTTCGAACAGGAAGTGACTTCCCATGCGTTTCAGCAAGACACAAAAGCCATACTTCCGGCTCGAGTGTCTCTAGCTTGTACGCTGAGCTGTGCGCTCTGTACCTGCTTGAGATCACTTATACAGACAAATGCATACTTGTCTGGTGTGTTTGATATGCTTTCTGGTCTTTAAGCCTTAAGACCTCCCGATGCTACATGGAGAAACCTTAGCACCCTAATCTGTGGGGCTGAAGTGGTGAAACCTAGACTTTTTTTGACACCTTAAATGTAGTCTCGCAAGCCAAACTACTCCCTGTCTTCAGAGTCGGGTACGTTTCATCCCTTAACGTGACCAGGAGCTGCCAACTTTGACAGGAAGGGGCCGTTTGCCATTTGTCTGACATGCAGAATAACCACAAGAGCTACAAAACGGAGCTGCAAGCCGCTCTTGAAAGCTCTTGAATAACTAGATGAGCTCCAGGGTCAACTTTTATCTATTAGGTGTAATGACATTCTGTTTAACTATTGATTTTAAGAACTGCTGAAGGGTTTGAGTGTTTAAATTTGTGCAGTTATTAGTAAATGGTGTTCGCAGTATCTGCATTTCATCGTTTCTGCCCCAAAACATTTTAATGCCACGATGCATGATGCTTGTTTCACGCAGCATTCCAACATCTGGACTATCTCCAATTAAACAGGGCTCGTTATGCTTTCTTTGTAATAAAATATTTACCTAAAAACTTCAGATATGCTCAGAATAATGCATTGTGTGGCATGATAATTTATCTCAATAATGTTCTAATATTGTCGTGTTGCCCACCTCTAATTCTCGTCATGAAAAAGCCTGTTTTTGCTGAACTCCTCGCCTATAAAATGCAACCAAATGAAGAACTGCTTTTTATTTAATTGACTTGCACTTTATATTCTCCATAACTGAACTATATTCAGCCCTCAATAGGCTAACAGGCTGGTTCATTCATTCTGAGAAACAAGCTTCAGATTCTGGCCTTTCCAGAAGGAGTCACATGCCCCTGTTTCAGCTCGAATTGGCATCAAATGTGATTATACAGCTCCGCTAGCTTGGCGCTAACAACACTACCTATTCCCATACAAGTGCTACCTGAAATTTGCAGTATGCTAGCAGCTAACTGGACAATGCAATGCTGCTTTAAAGCAGATTACAACGGGTTGTGCAGTAAACATTGCTGTGTAATGGCACACTGGTAGATCTTCATGATGTTCCTACTGTACCTGTTTCACAGCATAAACGAAACTAAGGATTTGGTGAAATGACTGGAATATCCCACACACTACTTTACATCCTGTTTGATCCCTGCTTTCCTATTAGTAGTCATACTTTTGGCCGAACTTTGGCCAAAAATTTGAATGATGTCATTAAGTATGTGCCACTGGAGTGCATCTTTAAAGGCTTAGCAAACTAGCATTTCCTGTATCTTCTTCACTTCTGTAAACACAGTACGTAAAAGAGTGGAAGAGCAGTCAGTTATTTCAGTCAGGCAGGAGCACTGCTGGGTCTGATCTACTCATACCAGCACAACACACACTAACACACCACCACGTCAGTGTTACTGCAGTGCTGAGAATGATCCACCACCCAAATAGTACCTGCTCTGTGAGGGTCCATGGGGGTCCTGACCACTGAAGAACAGGGTAAAAGGGAGCTAACAAAGTATGCAGAGAAACAGATGGACTACAGTCTGTAACTGTAGAACTACAAAGTACACCTATATAGTAAGTGGAGCTGATAAAATGGACAATGAGCAGAGAAACAAGGAGGTGGTCATAATGTTATGCCTGATCGATGTATGTTCTGAATGTGAATGCTGATGCTCTGCATCCGCTAAACCCTCTCATCTCTTTTTAATGCAGAACTTCATCTGTAGTTGTCATGGCGACTCCAGGGTTTGCAGAGGACCTACAGCCCTCCCAGCCCCAAGGGGGTAGCATAACCACATCCAAAGCTGTCCAGCAGAAAACCACGCCCACTGCCACGCCCCAGTTCCTCCCAGAGATACAGAGCCCTTCTAGCTCCGCCCCTTCGCAGACAGTCCCCACTGCTAGACCTAGTCAGGCCACGCCCCCGGGGAGCCAGAAGAAGACGGTTTTGGCCATACCTCCTCAAGTAACCGTGGCAGCAGTGCCTTATGTTGCCTCAGAGATTCAGAGCTCCGCCTCACAGTCCAGCAATGGCCAGAGCACGCCACAGTACATAGTGGTCACTGTTACCGGTAAGATGTAACTTATCACATGTATACACACACTTGTGCACTACTGTCCACAAGCTTGGAATCACAGTTTACAATTATATAAAGTCAGTTTTCTTGCAAACAGAGGTATGGAAATATTCTTATATGATGCCAGTGCTCGACAACTTCAGGCAGTTTGTACAAGGCTGTAAAATATTAAATTTCAGATGGTTTAGGCAAAAAGATTCAAGGTGAGCATTGCAGACAGTACCATTGTGGAGTTTGGCATTAATTCAATAATGTAAGAACAGTTTTGTTGTTGATAAATACATAACAAGATTCTAATATGCTTGTCATGAATAACTTCACAAGTTTTAAATAATTATTAGGAAGGAAGTAAAAATTGCAGAAATGGTAGATGTGCCCAGTATGATGAGAAATCAATAGGAAAACTGTAGAACATCCAGACTGAATTCATAATTAATTAATTAAACATTAATATTTAGAATACAGCTCTAATAAAAAGAATATTTAAAGTGATGTTATGGTAAAATTCAGTTCCTGAATGAATTTATAATAAAATTCATAACCAGAATGAAAGCATAATAAAAAATCTGAATTAATACAATTACAATAAAATTATTTCTCAGAATGAAATTATAAAATGATATTAGATGATATAATGGGAAAAATAATATCCAGAATATTCAGAAGTTCCAATAAAATTTATATCCAAAGTGATGTAATAAAATTGACATCCAGAAGGACGTATATAAAACTGTGAATATCCTAGAATGCAGATAGAAGTGATGATTGAATCTCAAGGCAGATAAAATTGACAAGAAGACCCTATGAATATATAATCACAGTGTAATTATTATCATTCAATAACTTCTTAAAATTTCCAAATACCTGAAATCTTGAGTAGACTATCTAAAAATAACTTCTAATGTCTTGTTTATAATATTATAATCTGCATTGTATAACAGCCACAACAAAGTAATATGTTATAAGGCTGCTACAGTGAACTATAAGGACTTCACCAAATCTGTTGGCTTTGAAAAAAGTAGTTTCAGTTTAATTCTGAATGTTTAAGCTATTAATGAACAACCTGCGCTTAAATTTACTCAAAATAGACTGAGGCTTGTTGTAAATCTGAGTTTGATCAAATTAATGCATTATAAAACACAGGCAGAGAGGGAGAGAAAGAAGCTGAAGGAGACTGACAGGACTGAAGGAGCAGATCCGATGGAGGTTAGTGATGAAGAAGAAAGCGAGGGAGAGTTGTATAAGCTTTCGGTTAAAATTAATACTGAATCTATTTTAACTTCACTGAGAAAATATAGTGTTTGTCACCACGACCATGAAATTGAGTCACCCAGCTTATTAAACATGCCTACAAAATCACGCTCTTCCTGATCCTACTGAGACTGAACTGATCTATAATCTGCGTTTGAGTAATATATTTAGGACCTTGCAGCTGATCTAAGAGAGAGGAGGTAGCAATACTTGGCTTCAGTACCTTTGCTCGATCTGTGCCTGCTGTAAGTGGATGGGTACAGTGTTTGTTATACTGGCTTTGAGCTTAATACAGACTATGAAGAGACAGACCTACTGGGTGTCAATTTAACCAAATAACCAGTTTTTGATCTGCTACACAGCTGATGTACTTGACATTTTCTGGCTGTTGCTACTATAAAAGTGCATTTTCAACATTTTGATGCCATTAAAAATATTCTCTTTGGGGACCATGCCCCCTGACCCCCCCCGCAGTACAGGCTTAGCCCCCATCCATTAACCTTTAGAGATTCCCCTGCGCCTATACAGAATCTGCACTTGATGAATTTTGTAGGCTTGTTTTGGCCAAGGCTTATGGCCGTCATTACCCCAAGGGACTGACGTCTCCTTCCGTTTTTCCCACCTTTGCTTCCTTTGTCATTCGCTACCTTTGCTGATACCAATACTGCGTGTCCCTGTTGCCGATAACGATAATACATTTAAGTGCCAGTATCGGTACCGATACCGTATCGGTGAAACGATGCTCCAAAGATGTCATTAACAACCCATAAAATAAACAGATGTTAACCTCGTAGCTCCAAAATGGTAACTTTACAGCAGAAGGAAGAAACCTACTTTACTTTTACTGTAAGTCAATGGATTCAGGCTTTTTCCCAAGTCATTTTGGGTCGTTTCTTTTGGTCCATTCTTCATGAAATTCACAGACAACGTAAAGGACAACAGGCATTTTCAAATTATGTCAAAAACTGAAAAACGACAAAAATGGAGATACAAGGTTTTGTTCCGACAGTAGCAATATGCTTATTGTGCCTCAGCATATTCTCTGCTTTTATTTACATGAATTTGCCTCAACCTGCTGGATAAAAGCACTCAGTTTACGTTTGAATTCACTCATATGTAACTCTGCAGTGTATAGTAGTGACAGCATGTGAGGTTTTTACCATTTACATATTTGAATGGTAGAACGCAACATGCTCAGTGTGTGTGAGAGTGAATGAATGTGTGTGAGTGGCCATGTTGTCTGAACGTGCTCTGTTGCTGCGTGTTTCGTGTTTATTTCTGGGTCCTTCTATTAGCGGAAAGACCCAGCAAGTGTCCCACATCTCACGTTACCCACCCCCCACCCCCTCCACACACCACAGACATCTGATACACACATTTTGTTTCCTCCTCATATGGCCAAACTGTAATCTCTCACCACACCTTTCACACTTTTCATTCGTTCAATATTTATTTCTCCATCTTTGTGATCACGAGTGTTTTTTTTTTTATTATGTAATAACAACACTGACTACAAACTGCAGCTTTTACCGTCTCACCTTAAATGGTGCCTTAGGCGCCAGAACGTAACTGCTGCACCATTTAAGGTGGAATGGGGACAATTCGAACAAGAAGGTGGCAACTGAGACGCTGACCTCAGCCTCGCGACTTTTTAGTGGTTGACAGTTTCGTTGCAGATTACATGTGTCAGCAAACCGGCTGGAGTGCATATAAATGCAGATAAGTCTGTCCATTCGTCTTTAAATTCTCGATGTTCATCTTTTCTTTGCCATTTTGTTACCTACTAGCTAGGAGGGATTGTTGTCTGCGTTGCTGTGTGACTAGCAGTCTGTGCCAGTCTTGAGGGTTAAGGGTTGGTAAATTAGGAGTTGTACATTAATTACAGTGTTTTTAGACCATTTACTGTTTCATTATTATTATATTGTTTCATAATTAATATTGACTAAAAATTTAGTTATGCTGTGGAGCCGCAAGAGAGCAGTAAAAGAGCCTCCAGAGCCGCATGTTGTTGACCCCTGGACTTGGGGTTCTGATATTCAGAAATAACATTCTAAACAAGTTCTAATGTTTTACAGGTTCTAATACTCTAATATTCTAATGTTCTAATTCTGTTCTAATATTCCAAAAACATGTTGTGTTCCAATTTGGGCATCACATGCTTACTTGCAGTGGTAGACCGAGACTCTTCTGCTGGCTTAGGTCTACTTCGTATGCTCTTCAAATGAGCGAGCAGCTAACCGCCTACACAACCTGTACACCTTGAACTATTCATGGCAAAAATCCTGAGGGTCTTGTAGGCTTGTTTTCACATATCATTGATCTGCGTTTTCTGGAGTGATGGAGCTCCATCCAATACCTTTGGGATGAGTTGGAGTTGATGTTCCAACACCTGGTGTAAAGCCTTCCCAGAAGAATAGAGGCTGTTACTGCAGCAAAGGGGGACAAACTCCCTATTAATTCCCTTGATTTCAGAAGAAACTTATTTCAGAAATAAGTAGATGCCTACAAACCTTTGGACGTGTAGAGCGTTTTTCCATGGCACAAAGTACCAAAACCTTGATCACCAGAAAACTGGAACTGTGCTTTTTCCTAATGGTCAAAAGTCCAGTACACAAAAGTCCAGTTTTATGTTTTTTTTGGTACCTGCTTAAGACTGATGGAACCTAATGACACTTGAGGGTGCTCTCCTGTGTCTTTGCTAACACTTGCAGCTAATGCTAATGACAGTTTAGCAAATAAATTCACTCTTCAGGGTGAAGATAGTCAGAAAGCACTTTTCCATGAGCCTGAAGTGCACTAGAATGTAGACTAGAATGACATGTTGATGTGTCTGTTGCTATTTTTTTTTAGAATTATTACTATGTGAACATTTGGCTAAAGTTACAGAAGTAAAGCAGGAATCTAATGTTAATGCTCTTAGCATTTATGCTAGTCTCCACAGAGTGATTTCACTCATATCACAACTTGTCGGAGAAATAGATAGATAGATAGATAGATAGATAGATCACTTTAATAATCCCAGAGGGAAATTCTCCTGAATAAATGAGCACATAAGTGTTTGTAATTGTAGAGAATCGTGAAAGTGCTGTACGTTTTGTAGCAGCCAACTAGCAAGATGGCTAGTTAGCCAAGTTAGACACTTTAGAGTGCCATAAAATGACCATAACGACAATTAAATTGCTGATTACTGTTGTTGTGATGGGTCCAGCTGTCTCAAGCCGGTGGAAAAAGAACTAAACTAGAACTAGTAGGATCCATTGGTTCCTGTTTAGGTCAGTCCTTATTTCTGAGTGCGCAGTGGAAAAACATCTATAGTTCATGATCCCCATCATGGTGATGGTGATGGAAAGCATTAGGGATGTTCACTTGATTGGTCCAGCACATAGAATTGCAGGGTTTGAGCTGTACAGTAGCACCTGCATGACCGAGAAAGAAAACATGAAAATGCAACAGGTTGCGCATGAGCTAGCAAAACTAAGCAAGGTGGATCCACTCTCTCTCTCTCTTTGTCCCTCTATCTCTTTCTCCATCTCTCCCTCTCTGTCCGAGCGCTGTGTTTACTAGAACATGAGAGTGCTTTGCCTTCTGTCGAGATTAGCCGCTCAAGGCTAGCCTCGTCCCGCTCCGTATAAGAGGAGCCAGAGGCGCTCTCTTGTTCTCTCTCTCCATCACTCCATCTCTCTTGTCCCTCTGTTTTCCCTCTGTGTTGTAAAGTCATGTTCTACAGTAGCTGCTTGTACACTCTGGAGCCGGCCTACCGTGAGTTGGAGGGGTCACGTTATTCGCTTTTAGGAGAGGTTTGGTCTGGAATAGGCTGAGCTGATGTAAAGGAATAGCTCGACTAAATATCGCTGTTGATGGAAGAAAAGCTTGTATCTCCAAAATGGTAACTTTACAGGAGAAGGAAAGAGCCTACTTTATTTTTAATGTGAGTCAATGGAACCAGACTTTTTTTTCCAAGCTATTTTGGGCTTCTTTTGGTCTGTTCTTCATGAAATTTACCCACAATTTAAAGGGCAACAGGCATTGTTTTAAAACGATATCAAAAACGGAAAAACAACAAAAAAACGGAGATACAAGGTTTTGTTCCGACAGCAGTGATACGCTTATGTGCTCCAGCATATTTTCTGCTTTTATTTACAGGAATTGACCTCAACCTGCTGGATAAAAACACTGAGTTTCCGTTTGAATTCACTCATAGTTAACTCTACAGTGTATAGTAGTGACAGCATGTAGTGGTGAGGTTTTACCATTTACATATTTGAATGGTAGAAAACTGAAAAAATGACAAAAATGGAAATACGAGGTTTTCTTCCAGCAGCACTGATATGCCATGGCTTAGTGCTTGGTGATAAATTGTCTGTACTATTATTCCAGTAGATTCCAGTAGTAACCATATGTACCATATGCTAGGTGCTTCAGATTGTTTTAAAGTTGAACATATATAAAAATCTAAATAAATAGGAAGTGCTTTCTGTCTGGTTAATGTTTATAATTCTGTGTAAAGAATCTATAGGAGTAATTCAGTCAAAACAAGCTATGGGCTGACAGGTTTGTAAGACATTCTTTAGAGTAGCAGCACTCTGGAAGCCTTGGCTAATTCATTTATTAATGCTAGCTTGAGTGTCATCTGATATTATGATATTGTGATATATATTTAAAGTTTCACAGTACTGAATTTTGTCAATACCTCCTACTGCTAAAGTGGTTTATGATGACTGAATGCTAGTAGCCTCCAGTTAGTGTGTTGTCATTGGTGAAATCCACATGAATTAGTTTCATACACTGTTAGCTGTGTTAGCATTTCAGACCGAGCTGTTCCTTTCGGTGGTTTTAATCTGGGTCTAACTCGTGTCATATGTTTTCCGGAGTGCTGCCGTCGTTTTTTTCTTTTATCTGTCTCTCGGTTCCTCTTTTCCTCTTCCTAAACACACACACACACACACACCCACACACACACACCCACATCTCTTTTCTCTCCGGTTAACCAACTGAAATAATCTTAAGCTGAATATCTAAATATCTTTCTCTCTCTCTCTCTCTCTCTGTAGAAGGGTCTCTCCATTCTAACGATTCCGTGTCAGACTCCAGTCCACCTCCTACTGTCCAGACAGGTGTGCCCACTCATGTAGTTCAACAGGTGCAGACTGTGCAGGTAACGGACACACACATTTATGTCCATACACTCCTACACACACAGACAGGCAGCAGACTCTTCTGACTGCTCTGTTTGGTTTCTGCTGGTGTAATGGTCTTTCAGTGTGAGTAAGCTGTGTGCTGAAGCCGTTGTTACTGTTTTCCACCAGCAGAGGTCAGTGGTGCAGACCACAGTGAAAAGCCAGACTAGCCAGCTGGGGGTTGCCAACCTGCACATCACTCCTGAGGTGAGTACAACACACACCCACTAGGGACATAGCCAGAATTTCATTGTAGGGGGTCTCATTACAGCTGCGGAGGGCAGCTAGGAAGCATGGTGCCCCAGAAACATTGCTAAAGTGAGACTGGGCACCACCAACTAGCCCACTAGCCCACTTTATTATAGCTTCCATAACAAGAGAGAGAAAAAAACGAAATTGTAAACACAACAATCAGTTGCTGACATTTAACTGCCTAGTTACTACAACAACAGACATTAGGCGATAAACTACAATCCTACCTTTTACAGCACTGTGTATGTGTCTGTAGGCCTGAATGATTTGCAGAAAATATGTGATGTAGTGATTTTCCTGACCGATATTGTGACCTCAGTTTAATTCACGAATATCTTGTAAAAATTAAGGTCCTGGGGTCGTATTACAGAAATTTCCTATGCTTTTGTCTCAAGTTAAGATCTGACAGGTCAAGTAAAAATTTTTACAAATTTGTATTACAGAAGCAAATCTTATCTTAATTTAGGAATCTTTTCTGACTGATATTGTGTCAGCGCTTTGTGCTGTTTATCAGAGCATCTCTGCTCTCCAGTTTCGGTTTTGGTTTCCCAAACGCTTTAGCTGAGCACGCTAACGTTTTTCCTCCTAATAAACAGACACACGTTCAGCTCTGTCTCCTCATTATTCACCACTGTCATTATAATATTTTATCTGATGAGTTTTCATCAACATTAATACACGAAGGTAATAAGAGGGGTGGTGGAGATTGTGTCTGCAGTGTCTGTGGCTTTAAAACACTTTTTCTCCAAAAAGAAACAGATGCACTTTTTCAGGCTTGAGACCAGCTGATGTGCTAGACTGGCAGTTAGTTGTGGTTGTGTGGTTGTGTGGTTTTCGCAGTATGTGGGTGTTTCTTTGGTTCTGATTGGTCTAACTCATCTGTATGCAGTTCATAAGCTCTGTGTTGTTGGGTTACATTTAAGACAGCATTGTTAATAATACAGACCAGAATTAAAATTGCAGATCTTGCAATTTGAAAATTGCACTCCAATGACAGTGCCACGTTTAAAGTGACTGAGCTCTTCAGTATGACCCATTCTACTGCCAGTGTTTGTCTGTGGAGATTGCATGGCTACGTGCTTGATTTTTTTTTGTCAGACAAGATGTACATCTGATAGCAATGGGTGTGGCTGAAACATCTGAACTAAATAATTAGGATGTGTGTCCACATACATTTGGCCATATAGTGTATTTTAGGGTGCTTCTTCACATCTGACAACAACAAAAATAACCCTTTTTAACTGTTTATTAATGTACAATGTCCCTGTCAAATAAATTAAGAAATAAGTAAAAATAAATGTCAGGGCATTTTGGTAGATGATGTGTCAGTTCAGGTCATTTTGGGTCAGCATTTTGTTGGGCTTGGATTAGTTTTGGACTCAAAACTTGGTGCTGTGAGTCAGCCAGGCTGGGATCAGGCCGAAAGTTCTTATGTGTTCAGACCAACATTTCTGGCCTGATTAAAGCTCTGATGATAAACACCTGCGGCTATATGTTTGTAGATCTCTCAGGTCGGGCAGCATGTGTACCCCAGCCAGGTTCAGTACGTGGAAGGTGATGGCAACTACAACAACACAGCCATGTGAGACATTCATATCTTATATCTTAATATTTTAATTTTTTATATTATCATCTAAACAAAAATGTCTGTTTCTCTTCTGAACCTGTTTTACAAATTTCTCTCTCTGTATTTCTTGCAGTCGTTCCAGTACTTATCCATACACAGACTCCACCCTCTACACTCAGGCCACGCCTTCTGGCACGTACTATGAAGCCCCACCCACGTCCACCTCTCAGGTTCCCACCCCTGTGACCTCTCAGCCAGTGTCCGTGACTACAGGGTCAGGCAGTGGAGCGGCACCCATGTTCTCCGGAGGTGGTACGGGGGTAACCGTGGTGACAGGTGGCACCTCCTCCAGTGGTGCGGGCGGAACTGGGGGCGGGACCAGTGGAGGAGGGGCAGGGAGTTACGTGGTTCAGGGGGGATACATGCTGAGTGGAAGCCAGAATTACTCCCCCACCCCACGTGCCTCACCTGCTACTGTGAGTACTGTCTGCGTGTGGATTCAAATGTAACATCCTGCAGTCGGGTACTGAAAATAAAACTTAGGCTGTGTCTGAAACACGTCTAGGGTAGGGTGTCCCGATTTTTGTTGAGATAGAGGGGTAGGGCGAAGCGTTAGGGCTGCATGGCCCTCCAAACGGAGGTTTTTCAGAGACACATTCCAAACGGATTGTTATGAGAAAAAAGAAAAAAAGCACAGGCAACAAAACATCAACAGCAGCTATCGGTTTCAGACACAGCCCACGCTGAGTTGTTAAAGGGGCACGCCAGCCAAATAAAACAAATTAGCCATTGTTACATCTGCTGTAAACATGCATACTCACTTTCTACAGTGGTACTGCAGCAGTCTCTAGAGTGAAAATTTTTGGTTTAAAGACCGAAAACCACTTTATGATGATGTATCTTGAAGGTGGAAGGACCTTTTAAAGAAACATCAAGCACTCTGGGTCGGATACTTGAGGATGGACTGTTTGAAATGTGGGTTTTTGGTTAGCGGGCGAATCCAGATAGCCAAAGATAGTTCAGTTGTTAAGCCAAATATCATTTTTGTATTTATAAGCCTCTACATCAGTGACTACCATTGAGGTGGAAGGACTCCCAGTGGTTGTCTTACGTAGTTGTGTGAAGCATTATGGGTATTGTAATGAGAGAACAAAATCATGAATTCTGTCAAAACGATGAGGTATACAGTACCGTGCTACAGAAAATTACATAACAGGCCGTGACAAATAACATTTTAATTGCTAGTGACTGGAATGCCCCTTTAATTCATCTCAAACAGACTTGCTTATGAGGTTTCTGATGCTGTATCTGTGACTGTTGTAGCTATACTAATGTACTTTTGTATATTTTAGATCGCAGTATGTCATACAGAGTGAGAAACCTCATAATCAAGTGTATTTGCGATCACTGAACAGCTTAACAGAGTTTGACGCTGATGTGTGATTTAGGCATGCATTTAGCACAATGCTGATTGATAGGGTATAGCTTCTGCTAGCTACTTTAGCCTTGTAGCTCCAGTAAAAAAGCAAAGAAGCAAATTTCAGACACCGAACATGTCTTGGCTGATTGGCTGGACAGTTGTAAGCAATAGTTTAGGCGCCCCTAGTCAGTTTATGCTTTGTTGATAGTCTAAAATAAAATAAGTGAAGACATCCTCTACAGAGAACACTTCTGCAGATTTTAATGCACAGTTACTGTTTATTTGTAAATTACTTATTATTTGTCAATATAACATGCAAAAAAAAACCCATAAAATAGTGGCTGTGCAAAGGTTGTGGAACAATTCATATTTTATGTATTACATATTATTATATATTATGTTGTAGATTTATTTTTCCAGTATTTCAAACCCAGCAAATAAATGGAAATTGTACAGAAAATGTCATATTTAAGTGTGTTCTCTGTAGAGGATGTGTTCAATAAACAAAACATGTAAGTTGACCAGGGGTGTTCAAACTCCATATGACTGTATTTGGAGTAAGGGAAACTTTAGAGTAACTTTAAGCCTCCTTAAATGTTAATGGTATGGTCCAGGCTGCATTATTATGTTATTCATTATTCTTCTTGTATGAATGAATTAATCCAGTGTGTGTGGTAAATTTGTGTGTCAAAGTCTGGAGTGCAATGGTAGTCATTGTTTCTCTGTAGGACCATGTACGTCCATCTGTATGATAATATATACATTAGAAGAATGAGATGGTAAAATAGAAACAGTGAATGAACTTCTTTGTGTCTCTCTGTCTTTCAGCTGCAGTGGTTGTTTGATAATTATGAAACAGCTGAAGGTGTCAGTCTTCCTCGCTGCACTCTGTACTGTCACTACCTGCTGCACTGTCAGGAGGCCAAGCTGGAGCCCGTTAACGCAGCGTCCTTCGGCAAGCTCATCCGATCTGTCTTCATGGGCTTACGCACCAGGCGCCTGGGGACCAGGTACACACACACACACACACACACACCCTCCCACACACATCAGAGTTTCAACTACGAGAGTTTTAGTGCCAGTCATAGTGTCTGGAAATGATTGTTTGTCAGACAAGTAAAATCACGGTCATATTAGTGTTGTGCAAAATCTAGTGGTGTCACCTATGGCGTATTCCCCAACGGCTTAGAATAACTGTGCTCTGACAGAGCTCGACTCATCAACATTACTGCAGCTACAACCCAGCAGGTGGATAAAAACCAAGCAAATTAGACCAGAATGACCATGAAAAAGATGAAAAGATTTGTAGACACTTCAGACACAGGCTCCAGAAAATGCTATGGCATAAGCTAGATTGGCGGACTGCACTGTATAGCTTACATTTCTTCAGAGTTCTGAAAATTCCAGTCCATGAGATTTTACAAAAACTAGTAAAAGTGGCTACCAAAACTGCCAAAGCTTTTAAATAGTAAATTTACACACATGCGTAAAGCTTAAGTTTGGTTGTTATTCGCCAGCTTCTCATTAGAATTATTAGCAGTTACACTAAGGTGCCTTAAATGTAGAATGAATTACAAAAGTTGGCGAATATAAAGCCAACATTAGCTTCCTTCAATAAAAGCATTATTTTACCTCAAGACACTCATTAATTTATCTCAGTAAATGCTCCTTAATCAACAAATACCTCAAACATTCGCTTGGAAATGTTTACTGAGCAGCGAACAAGCAGCACAGAGCTAAACGCATCTCACTGGCTGATCTAACGCTGCGTCCCAAACCACACACTTCTGTACTTGACCTACTACACTAATTAGATCCCTTCTGATGGGATTTGTGCTATTTTTACACAGTATTTAGTTTGTTAGTATGCAGTTTGGGAAGGGGTGCCAGTAACGCAGCAGGAAATCTCAGCTGTTCAGATTTCAGCTTTTCTTTGTTATCATTACAGCAACAAATCAAATAAAATCAAGGCAACACATTCAAATATATCAGTGACGTCAGCGGAATACTATCAGTTGTTATGTTTGATGTCATGACGGCTAAATAGAATGCATTTAGCAAAATTTAGCAAGCCGTTCTGTGCACTTTTAAACTAGTAGTCACAAAAGAATTAATTCAAAACAGGCTGTTTGTTGCTGTTTAGTTTCCATATATGGATTGTATGGACTGGGGGTAGTGAATGATACATTTAGAAAATTTAAAAATGTCTACCTACTACATCAAGCTCATGTTTTTAAAAAAAGTGGGGAAAATGAGTTTTTCTAAGATATGGGTTCTTTAAACGAGATTCTGTGTCAAACCAAACAACTCCTGATGTGTTTATGTGCGTTTCAGAGGGAACTCCAAGTACCACTACTATGGGCTTCGGATCAAGAGCAGCTCCCCCCTGCAAAGGCTAATGGAGGACCAGCAGTACCTGGCCATGAGACAGCAGCCCTTCTCCCATAAGCACAAGTATGTGTGTGACTGAACAGTGGGGTTCACAAGTCTGAGACCACTAGGGAAAATGCTTCTGTTTTGCGTTTTCGTTCTAATTCAATGCATCATTTTTCATTTATCCACATAATGATTTGAGTGAAAGTGGAATCTTTGAAATTTGGCCATGAATTTCAGTGTTTCTTAGTATTTAGTATGTCCTTGTTTTACTTTAATGACAGTGTGCGCTCAACGCATCTACACGTTTGTGCCGAAGCTGATGAGTAGATCAAATCCACCTGAGAATTGTCTGAATACAAGCTTTGATGGAAGGGATAAGACCAAATGTGGCCTGTTTCTGTATAAGGACTATAACATTAACATTAACACTGAGCATGTTAAGGCCAAATTTGCTGAAATTTGTATAGTGATGTATTAATAGTGCAGAATAATTCTCTTTGTTTTAATGGTCATTTTTCTTTGTTTTCAATTTTTAAGAATTCTTAAACTTTCTGTGTTTACTTTCAAGCTTAAATGTCAGTGTGGTCTCAGATATTTGGACTACACTGTATATGTGTTATGCTTGCTGAGTTTGATTTGATGACATCATCGCAGTGTCTACAGACTAGACCAGCTGTGTTATTTTTACATTGAGACTGGTGACTGGGATTTGCCATTTGAATTCATGCGCAAGTACAAACATGAGATGGAAAGAGTTCTAAATGAAGTCACAGTGTTCAATGCAAACAGGTTTGACTGTTGGCTATTTTGCCCCTTAACACTACTGTGTAGCCAAATCAGGCCTATAGATTACATTTTTACATTTTCTTTTTTTTTAAATATGAATGATAATGTGGTCTACTTATGTATAAAAGAGCATTTTTATATTAAACAAATTACATTTTTGAAGAAAAAACATGCCCCCATGCTGCTTGGTGTGTTAAATAGGAATTTTACACAGATTTTTCAAATGTTCCCCATAATTCAATCGTTAAGATGTAAACAGAGTCATTCAGAGTGGTTTGATGTGAAATGGTTCACTGTAGAGAAACTTACAGACTCAGATTTCTTTACAGTGGTGGTGATGGGAACCAGGGGTCACAATGTCTACAACACAAATATAGCCATTTTATTTAAAACCACCAGTGAACCTACATGATTTTGATAATAGTAAAACAGTAGCAGGTCTGAAAAAGTAAGTTCTGTTTGGGGACTATTTAGCCTGCATGTACCTCTTCACCATTTATGAATTTTTAAAAATCTGTTTTAGGCCAGAATCTTCTCAAAACTACCATAAAACAGTGACTCAGACATTAGCATATTCATATCGGTTTTATGTAATGATATTCTGTCTCAATGTCTTAACCATTTAATTATTTAATTATATGCTAAAAATATAGAAAAATTGGTGGAATTCTGGGTTTTCAGTCCTTTGGATTCCCCACCCTGCTCAGACAATACCTGACACAGGTACTGAGTGTCATACAGCCCCTGGTTGCCTGAAGCAGGTGTGCTAGGAGCTGAAATGGAGCAGATATGTGGACTGGATTGGAGCTGAAGGACTCCATTTTATGGATTTGATATGGTTGAACAGGGACCGCTTGCTTCAGTTTGCTTGACAGGTTTCCTCTTTTGCAGGATAAAGCCGGTGCAGAAAGTTGAAGGAATGACCAACGGGATGGCGATGGGGGTGGGCTCAGGACAGGGGGGGGGGCTGGTTGACATCAGCTCTCAAGTTCAGCACTATCAGCAGTTTTTAGGTAAAGCACTCACACATAAACTCACACAAATTAAATTTGGAAATGACCATGATGCCTATAGTAAAACTCAAGAGTATACAGTACTGTTAAAAAGTTTAGACACACTTAACCCCTTACTTGGCCATGGCCCGCTGGCAGGCCCAAAGTTTTATTACATACTTCTATAGCTCAACTCGCTCAACCAGTTTGCAAAGTCCCTGTAGATACTGAATAATAAGCCTTAGTATATAATTAGGCTGGGATTTTAAGGGGTTAATTATGTGTTTTTCTGGTGAGTCTGTATGAATTTAAGTGCAAAAAACAAATGTAATTTCAAACCATTTTTAAACAAAATATATCTAAATTTAGAGCTGAAAAATGTTGAGTTGGAAACACAATCATTGTGTCACTGTAATTGTAAAATGAAGAATTTTTAAATTGTGTCCAGAATGCTGAACAGAGCTATAGATTCCAAAATGACTAAAATGAAAGCTGTAGGATAATGAGAATGCATAAAATGTATAATAATACACCCCCATTTCCAAAAATTATATATGAAAATTATATGCCCATTTTGAATTTGATGCCATCAACACGTTTCAAAAGAGTTGAGATGGGGGCATGTTTACCTCTGTGTACCTCTTCTTTTAACAACACTGCTGTAGTTTTGAAATGTTTTCCCATTCTTGTCTGATATAGGATTTTCATCAGTTCAGGGTCTCCTTTGTCATATTTTTCATTTTATAATGTGCTAAATGTTTTCAGTGGTGACAGGTCTGGACTGCAGGCAAGTCAGTTTAGCACCCGGACCCTTTTAATACAAAGCCATGCTGCTGTAATACATCTGTAATACACCAAGCTGAGTGGTCTTTAGCCCAGAGGTCACAGCATTCATGATTTCCAAAAAGAATTTCAAATTTTTGATTTGTCAGACCACAAAACACTTTTCCACTTCCCCTTAGTCCATTTTAAATGAGCTTGGGCCCAAAGAAGGTGGCAGCATTTCTGGATCCTGTTTATATACGGTTTCTTCTTTGAGTTTAAGAGTTTTAATTAGCATTTGTGGATGCAGCACCGAACTGTTTTCACAGACAGTGGTTTTCAGAAGTGTTTCTGAGCCCATGCAGTGATTTCCACTATAGAATCATGTCTGTTTTAAATGCAGTGCCGCCTGAGGGCTCAAAGGGCCTTGTTCCCTTGCATACAGAGATTTCTCCAGATTCTCTGACTCTTTTAATGTTATATGTACCGTAGATGATGAAAAGCAAAAGTTCTTTGCTATTTTATGTTGAGAAATGTTATTTTTTAATTGTTGCACTTGATCGTGCAGTCTTTCACAGAGTGGTGAACCCCTCTTCATCTTTACTTCTGAAAGACTCCGCCTCTCTGAGATGCTCTTTTATACCCAATCATGTTATTGACCTGTTGTCAATCAACCACTAGGTGTTTTTTTTAAGCATTGCACAACTTTACCACACTTTTGTTGCCCCCGTCCCAACTTTTTTTGGAATGTGTTGTCAGCATCAAATTTAAAATGGGCAGATATTTTTCAAAAAACAATCAAATTTCTCAGTTTCAACATTTTAATATGTTGTCTTTGAAGCATTTTCAATGAAATATAGGGTTTAAATACACATCAATGCATTTTGTGTTTATTTATATTTTTCACAGTGTCCCAACTTTTTTGGAAATGGGGTCGTAAAAGATAAAATGAATAATCTCTCTTTCTCTTACTCAGAGGCATCCCGCTCTCTGCCAGAGTTTCCAGATATTGATCTCCAAGGGAAGCCCCTGCCAGACGGAATTCTTCCAGAGCACATTCGGGCGTTCCAGCAGCTCTACAGAGAACACTGCGAGGTAGAACCATGCTCCAAGTGTGTGTGTGTGTGTGTGTGTGGAGTAACTGCCCAAGGCTGAGTGTGTGAATGTGCATGTGTACTTACAGTACCGTGCAAAAATCTTCGTACCGTGCAAAGATCTTCGTTTATTTAGTTTCCAGTCAAAATAGCCAATAGGTACATGTTCGGAAAAAGTCAGGAAACAACGAAGGAAATATACATTTACCAGAAATTTACACAAAAGCCTCAACAACTAAATACAATATCACATTTTTTAGTATTTATTATGTCCACATATGTCTTGCAGGTGGTTGTTAGGTGTCCCATTTTCTCTGGAGCTTTTAATCACTGTTAAACTCCAGTTTTGGAAGCTCCTGATTTCTTACTTATTTTTCTTTAGTCCTTCGTTATGCTAGTGGATTATCCTATATCTAATCTCCTCAGAAATATCCTGAAAAATGATGAACTTTATAGCTCAATGGGGGTTGTCACTGAAATTGAATGAAACTGAATGCTTGTGTGTGCTTTAGGCTATCGTGGATGTGATGGTGAACCTGCAGTTTACTCTGGTAGAGACTCTGTGGAAGAGCTTCTGGAGATTCACTGAGGGCCCGAACAATGACATGGATATGGATCTGTGAGTGCATCACACAAACACACACAGTATTGCTGCAACTAACAATTTTTTTTATATATATAATCACAGTTATTGTATTAACTGTTATGTGATTTATCGACTTATCTAGCTATTACATCTTCTTCAGTTCTTCTCTCTTTACCACTGCCATCATTCAAAGTTCCTTATGTGCTGAATGATGTTATTTATAGTGTTGTAAACTAATAGAAGCCACGTCAGAAGCCATATTATCATATTTTTACATTTATATTTTGTTGACAACAAATGAACTTTCTAGTCTATAATGCTCTATAATGTTCCACTGATTGTTACAGCCCTGAAGCACACATAGACCCATATACACACTACCTTGATGATGTTCATGCTGAGTTCTCTGTGCTGTATATTTCAATCTGGTCTGTGTTGTGTAGTCATGGTGAATCAGAGAAGCGGTTGCCGAAGGTATGTTTGGTGCTGCTGTGTAAATATGAGCCTGTTTTGCGCTGGAGCCGCAACTGTGACAACACCCTCTACCAGACTCTAGTGGAAATCCTCATTCCTGATGTCCTCAGACCCATACCCAGTGAGTTACACAGCTCTGCACAACTCTACACAGATCTACACTACTCTACACAGATCTAAACTACTCTACACAGCTCTACACAACATTACACAGCACTACATAACTCCCACTACCAGACTGTAGTGGAAATCCTCATTCCTGATTTCCTTAGGCCCCTACCCAGTGAGTTACACAGCTCTACACAACTCTATACAGATCTATTTTACACCGATCTATACAACTCTACACAACATTACACAGCACTATACAACTCCCTCTACCAGACTTTAGTAGAATCCTCATTCCTGACGTCCTCAGATACATAACCACCGAGATACACAACTCTACACAACACTACACAACTCTACACAAGTCCTATTCGCAGACTTAAGTGGAAAGCCTCATCCCTGACATCCTCAGACACATACCCAGTGAGATACACAACTCTACACAGTTCAACACTTCAAAACTCTCCAGAACTCACTTGAGTAGAAAGTTTCATCCCTGAACATTCTCAGATTTATACCCAGTTATTTACACAGCTCTGCACAACACTACACAGCTCTATACAACACTACACAACTCTACACAACTCCCTCTACCAGACTTTGGTGGAAATCCTCATCACTAACATCCTTACATAACCCATGAGTTATGAGTTACTCAACACAAGACTGCATTACTCAACACAAGACTGCATTACTCAACACAAGACTGCATTACTCAAAAAGACCAGTCCTGCATAACTTTGTGCAGTTCTCTCTGAAACGCTGCACATTAAGGAATTATGAGTGCTCTAATAGATTCTCCTTTAGTGGATCAGTAGAAACACTGTGTGTTGTGTTTCCTCAGGTGCCTTAACCCAAGCTATCCGAAACTGTGCCAAAAGCTTAGAGAACTGGCTCACCAGTGCCATGATGAACATACCAGAGGAGATGGTCCGAATCAAGGTCAGTCAGACAGACAGACACACACACACACACACACACACACACACACACACACACACACACACACACACAGAGGGTTCAAATTGAGCGAGGGCAAGACCTCCCATAAGAGTAAAAGGACCAACCATAAGAGAGACACATTTGAACTTGAGGAGGTCTCTTAAGCAAAATTACAATTTTCAGACACAATGAATGCCCTCATGAGGTGACCATCTTCTTTTCTACATTTGTGTCACATTTAGCATTAGATTCCTCCCACAGGATAAACTCTAACCTCGCTTGTCCCAAATTCAGAACAGAACCGTACAACAACCGGTTTGGAATTGAAGACAATTAAAGCTTGAGAGTTTTATTAGAGTTTTATTTTAGGCTGTTGGAGAACATGCGATGGGTAACGTTCACACTAGCCTACTGCATTATAGCGTGTTTTTTGTGCAGCAACCAATATATCATCAGATTTTTACAGATTTGTCTGAAAAACAAAATCTTAGTTTGATTTTGCTTCCCACAAAAATTTCCTACTGCAGACTAAAATAAATGTTTTGCTACTTAAATCAGTACATTGTAATTAATATAGATAGACAATTTATATTGTATATAAATATACAATATACAGGTCTCCTCATAGTCCAGCTTTCCACCAGGGGACCCCCACAAACTACACAAAATTGAAATACAACCAACATACACACACATGCACACTTTCTCTCATACACAAACATGTTTTGTATGTCCTTTGTACGTGTACGTGTGTGTGTGTGTGTAGGTTGTGTGTGCAGGAGCGTTTGCACAGACTCTGCGCAGGTACACTTCTCTGAATCACCTGGCCCAGGCCGCCCGGGCTGTGCTGCAGAACTCAGCCCAAATCACCCAGATGCTCAATGACCTCAACAGAGTGGACTTCACTAACGTACAGGTATATATACACATACACACACATACGCTCCTCCATACTCATATATACTCATATAACATTATCATTCAAAAGTTCACAATCAGCGTTTCAGTTATGCAAGACATATTTGGTTGTATAGACATTATTCTAATATAGTAGTTCGGTGCAAAATTACAGGTTTATTGGAAATTCTTAATTAAAAAGAAAATGTTTTAGATAATAAATGAAGCTCCAGATGACTCTGAAATGTATAACATTAATGAGAAAATTATAATAAAATTAACATCAGAATGAAGTTCTGATAAAATTTAGATCCACAGCAGAGTTATTATTACATTAATATCCAAAGTGAGGTTATAATAAAATTCATATTCAAAATGATCCTCTAATAAAATTAACATGCTGAGAGAAGTCCTATAAAATTAATATCCAGAATCAGGTTCTAACAAAATTACTGTACAGAATGAAGATAATAAAATTAATATCAAGAATAAAGTTCTAATAAAATTAATATCAAGAAAAAGTCTGCAGGCCTATAGCTGCCCCCCCACCACAGCTCCTCACCCTTCACTGTGTGTGTGTGTGTGTTTGTACACAGGAGCAGGCATCGTGGGTGTGCGTGTGTGATGAGCGGATGGTGCAGCGGATCGAGCAGGACTTTAAGATGACCCTGCAGCAGCAGAAGTCTTTGGAGCAGTGGGCGGCCTGGCTGGACGGAGTTGTCTCCCAGGTCCTAAAGCCCTACAGCTCCAGCCCGGGATTTCCCAAAGCTGCTAAACTCTTTCTGCTCAAGTGGAGCTTCTACAGGTCAGCACAGCTGAGTTTAATCCTGTGACACCAAAAGATTCTTTCAATCAACATTTGCTGAGTTTACTGCTTTGTGCTAACGTGATGTAATAAGTGTTTTGTCCATAAGAGTGAAAAAAGCCTATTACTTAAATGCAAATAACTGTTTGTGCCAGTACTGTATATACTGTGTAAACATTTTAATCATATGCTTCTATTACGTTTACAAAAATTATTTAATATCTGGCCCACATTACAGGACAATCAGGGCAAATTTGAGGCCGATTTGCCCCTCCCGACTTAGTGTGGGCCAGGCATAAGATGCGCACGTTGAGATTTAAAGTGTCTCTTTCTGTTGAGCCCTACTCTCTAAACCCTCCTCTGTTCTCTGTAGCTCTATGGTGATCAGGGATCTGACCCTGCGCAGTGCGGCCAGTTTCGGCTCTTTCCATCTCATCCGCCTGCTCTATGATGAGTACATGTATTACCTGGTGGAGCACAGGGTGGCCCAGGCCAAAGGAGAAACGCCTATCGCTGTAATGGGAGAGGTACACAAACAGTCTTTCTCATACAGATACAGACGTCTACACATAAACCACACTGTACACATGTACAGCATGTAAACACTGTAAATATTAAGGCTGGGCGATATGGCAAATACAATATCATGATACCTCAAGACGATATTTAGATTTCAGAGATTTGCACCAGCAGATCAGTAGTGCCGTATAAGACTGTGACAAATAAACTCTTTAAAAACAGGAAAAAAATGCATAAAATTACATCATAATGAGCAAAATCAAGATCCACTCAGCTACTTGCTTCTGTGCAGTTTATGCAGCTACTACACAATGGTCGTTTACAGGCTCTGTATAATTAGTCTTTTTAAGATACATGCAGTTTTTAAAAATGTTCTACAATAAGTGTTCTAGAACAAAGCCGTGTTCTTCAGTGAAGCAGTGTTCTTCAGAGAAGCAGTGTTAAATCTAGAAGTAAGTAGTGCTCTAGAATAATGCAGTGCTCTGAAATAAAGCAGTGCTGTAGAATTAAGCAGTGTTCTAGAATAAAGTGGTGCTCTAGAATAAAGTGGTGCTCTAGAATAAAGCAGTGCTCTGAAATAAAGCAGTGTTGTAGAATTAAGCAGTGTTCTAGAATAAAAAGTGGTGCTCTAGAATAATGCAGTGCTCTGAAATAAAGCAGTGTTCTAGAATAAAGTGGTGCTCTAGAATAATGCAGTGCTCTGAAATAAAAGCAGTGTTCTAGAATAAAGCAGTGTTGTGGAATAAAGCTGTTTTAAAATAAAACAGTGTTCTAGAATAGTGTTCTAAAAGTACCGATGGCACCCAGGATGTACTCTTTTATAAATTGTAGATTAATTTGACTGTAAATTATACAATCAAATAAAAGCAGTGTCGTAGAACTAAACAGTGTTCTAGAATAAAGCGGTGCTCTAGAACACAGCAGTGCTCTAAAATAAAGCAGTGTTCTAGAATGAAGCAGTGTTGTAGAATAAAGCAGTGTTCTAGAATAGTGTTCTAGAAGTACTGATGGCAACCAGGATACACTCTATTTAATAAATTGTAGATTAATTTCACTGTAAATTATAAATGATATAAAAGAAATTTATCACAGTAACAATAATATATCGTCACATCACACAATTCTAGTAAATCTTACAGAGCCACTATTTGCAAGTTAGCGCTTTAGTTGTTTACTTTGCGTCCGTATTCAGTTACTGTGCATATATGATTAGCTTTTTACATTTTCTTCAATACACTCGTTTGCTAAATAGTACACAAAAATGGTTACATTTAATATTTGTAGGAGTAAGAACACTGTTTTGAATTCAGGTTTCATCAGTGTACTCAGGTCTGTTCAGTGTTATGTATATGTATAAAAGTCATAGACTGAACTGAGATCAGCATCCAGTTGTGAGAAGCTGTATAAATATTGGCTGTTTCTTATAAGTATGTGTTTATGTTTTTGTTTTTTTTGGCAGCTTTCCAGCCTGAGTCGGAATATGGATGCATCAGACGTTGAGAAAGGTAACTCGCCTCCACCTTTACACGGTCATCCTCCTCTCCTCCACATCTCTGCCCATTTATGAACATATATGTTGGCTTCATTTAGGCCACAGAGAACACAAGTAGATGCCTTTATAGCACAAGATTAATATAACCTGGGATCATTTCCACAGTTTGTTTTATAATACAGGATTGATATAACCTGGGATTATTTCTATTGTCAATTGTATGGCCTAGGATTATTTCTACGGTTCATTTTATACTATGGGATTATTATAACCTGGGGACATTACAATTTGTTTTAAAGCACAAGATTAATATAATCTAGGATTATTTTTATAGATTGTTTTATAGCATGAGATTAATAATAATCCAGATTATAGCATGGGATTCATATAACCTGGGGTCACTTCTACACTTTATTTTAAAGCACAAGATCAATACAACCTGGGCTTATTTCAATAAACTGTTTTATAGCATTAGATTAATAATAATCTGGATTATAGCATGGGATTAACATAACCTGGGTGTTTCTTTGTACAGTGTATTTTAAAGCACAGGATAAATATGGAAGCACGATGGTGGAAAAGTATGTATAAGAGCTTGTGTGTCCCTCCTTACAGAAGAGGAGGAAGAGGAGGATGACGAGAGTGACGAAGATCAGATGTGCGTTATGGCCGACTCGGCTGCTGTGGCGGAGGAGTCTCTGGAGCCGCCCACCAAACTAGCCAGAACGGACCCCTTCAACAGCGCACACAACTAAAGCACACATTCAACTCCACACACGACCATCACATACAAACACACACATTTACATCTCTAAACCCACTTATACAGACAGAACTAACACACACAGCTTTTTTATTAGATATTCTCATCTTAGTGCCATGCAGTCATCTGCCTTATCCTTTACCAAACTACTCTATTGCCTCTATACGATAGTGTAATGTATTGATGTTTAATGCCTTAAATTGATTTCAGTGATAATGCCTTAAGTATACACATAGCCCATTTGTGTGATAGCGTTTACAGTATAAATATTATACATAGAGAGTGACTGTGTATGTCAGAGTGTGTTTATGTTTGCATACGGGCAAAGAAGCGCGTTTCATTGTCAGAAACAACAGGCAGAAAACGTAAAAATGAGCCAAGACGCTAAACAGAAACAGCGCTTTATCTGAAACGTCACTCCCACTGTGACATTTCTGACTAGAAAATAAACAAGATTTTAATAAGTCACACAACCACACTAAAGTAATGCTAACTAAGACACTGTAATGGTCACTGTGCACTAGCTTGGCAAGCTATCATCCAGCTCAAGTGGCCATCACAGTCACCTGTTCTTTGGGGTTTGGTGGAGAAATGGTGCACTGAGGCGTTTGTGCTTTATTGCTTATTGTAAACAAAACTTTTGCTCATACAGTTGGATAAAAAGCTTAAAGTCCCCCAGTCAAATGGCATGTTTTGTCGATTTTCTAAGTAAAAAAAATCAGGAAATTTATAAAAAGACGTTTACATTCAAAGTATAAATAAAAATAGTTTATTTCCTTGTTAGAAATGTTACAGCGGGAGCTACAAGTTCAGATAAGCCCCTTTTTCGTTTGGTGCCTTGGCTCCACCTGCAGATCGAAGCCTGAAAATAAAAGTGAAATCAGCCTGGTTCCTTTTCTGTTTTTGTGCTTTTGTCGAGATTTTATTTTCTGTTTCTCGAAGCGGAATAAGACATTTTAGTCACTTTTTATATTTTCTGCCGTTTCTGACAATGAAAGCGAGAAATGCCTTGTTTGTTTTTTTCATTTCTCATGTTTGGATTTTGAAACGAGAATCAGATAACCATTCGTTTTTTTCATTTTTTCAATTTCTGCTTTCATTTTTTTTCATTTCTGTCACTGGAATGAAAATAAAATGAGCAAAAATGACCACCAGTGATTATGATGGACTAAATAACAGGAAAACGGAAAATTCTAACAAAAAAAAAACACAGCCGCCCACAATCAAAGAAGAAAACATTATTTGTATTATCTCCCTCACTCTGTTCTGTCAGTCATCATGTTTTTCATTGCTTTGCACTGCCTTGATTTGCTTCATAGAAGTAGCAGCTTTGTCACTTTTTCACAGGAAACGGTGGCATGATTTCATGTACACGATGCTGTCTGGCCCCCTGTAGCCTTCACACGTTTTTAGCAGCCTTAGCGTTTTTGTATGAAGCGCTCCACACTACCCGATTTTCATCGTGGGTTCCAGTTAGGGCTGAGTAGCACTTATTACTTGGATACTTTCAGTATCGATATCTAAATTTTAATACTGATGCCTGAACGTTCTGTACTTATTTCAGCACCTTGTTTTAAATTACAGACCAAGAGTGGGCGTGGCTTTAACCATAAATGAGTGTAATATATTTATTTAAAAAATAATCAAGAAGCGCTGATGTTAAAACATGCATTAGAGACATCATTATAGATTTAAAAGCACTGAACAGTGTGCTGTTGTTTTTGGTTCAGACTTTAGTGAGATCAGATTATGTTTAGTGAATCGATTCTTTAAATTCACAACGCGAAATCTGACTTTTCTTATCTGTTCGGCAGCACAAATTTGTATATAATTTTATTTCCCCTACGCTCATCTTGATAGTATCTTATTGGCTTGTTGTGCAGCAAAACAGCACATATGAAACAAATGAATACACAGCTGAAAGTTATAGTCAGTATATTATGTGTTCAGAGTGCCGCTGTGTTTAGCATCTCAGCCATTGGCTAAAACGTCTGCAAATCAGCAAATGTTTGGAAAGTGAAAGGAATGAATCTTTTAGCGTAGCGATTCAAAAAAACTACCCAAAACTTTTGTGCTATTTTTTAAAATCCAGGCTTTTAGTTGCCTTATCTACGCTCCGCCCACACAAGCATTCTTTCATAGCTACTGTTGCTGGGTTGCCTGAGTGTTTACAAAATTCCATTCAACCTAAAGAGAAACTGCAGCTCAAAACTCAGTTTTTTTACTTTGTACATCCTAAAAAGATTCATTCAAGAAAGTGCAGGGCACGGATGAGCGAATCTGCAGCATCACGGAAAATCATGTAGTGTGAAATACAGTGGAGTCCAGAAGTCTGAGAACACATCGTTTCTTTTCATTTATCCTGGAAGTTATGTTATCGTGGAAGTTATGACAAGTACAAAGCAGGTTCAGCACTTTTCCTTGGACCTTCCTTGGAGATTGATGCATATTTATAACATTGACGATATCCTAAATATTTTAGTATTTTATATTTTTCCTTGAGGCCCAGTCTTAACATTTGTGGGATGTTTTAAAGTCATAATTCATTTCTACATGACCATTTTCAGCCTCTCTTAATTCCTTAGAAGTAAACAGGCTGTTTTAGTTAATTCCCCTTAAGACTAATATATGTAAATGATCTCTGTTCTGATTGGCTCCCCTGTACCATGCCTCATTCAAACAGCAGTCTGGGCTGAAAAACCCCTTTAACTTTAGCGTGAGTGGCCGAGGCTGAACTGCTGTAGGATGAATAGGCAGACATATGTAAATAGGTGTGTCCTAATTCAGGGGCTGCATCCTACGAAGGACAGGTGTGTCCTTTGAAGGCTGCGTAGTCTCGCGAAGGCTGAACTGAAATGAGATGGTCTGCCCTACAGCGGTCTTCCTGTTTGCGTCACAGCACCGCTGTTCCCACCCCCTTACTGCTGCATCACGAAACACCACTCCTGTCAAGTTCTTTAAAGATAGAGCCACAAACGTTGATTTTAGTGGGGTTTTTTTTGTTTATTAGAGCTGGAGACCCCCTGCAGTCTTAAAACAAAACGGAAACGTTAGCATAGGTTTTGCTTCAGACCACATCATTTTTTTAAACGTTTGTATCTTCAGCTGTTCGACTCAGTTTAAACCCAATACTTATATATTTAAAGTGTCCCCTCAGCCACTGTTCGCTCCTCTGCTGACGCCGCCATGTTCTCGAATCCTCGTCAGCATGCAATGAACCTTTGGATATATGCTGGCAAAGGATCCACCTGTTGGATCTTTAGTTGCCATGGAAAAGAAGGACACATTTCTCGGCTGCATATGAAAGAGCCTTCAAAATGGGACAGCCTAGTTGTGCTGCTGTGACGCAATCGGCCTTCAAATGCTGCCTCCGAAAGGACGCAGCCCCTGAATTGGGACGCAGCTCATGTGTTGGGTTTTGTGACATCACAGAAACAATGAGCTGTTTGTGCACTTTTCCACATATGGAATGAGGAGCGAACAGTGTCTTTAGCAATGTTTACATACAATAACAGACTTTTATTTTCAAAAAGGAGAGGAAAATTTGGTTTTCCAGGATAAGAGTCCTTTAAAGCGAAAGGGGGAGCAAATACTAAATACTAAGAAATTCCCATGTAATTAGATGAAAGGTTCTACTCAAATTGTGCTTGTAGTATAATTTGAACACTGTTAGATCAGAAAAGTAAACAGTCGAGTGGTCTCAGACTTATGGACCCCACTGTATGTGGTAAACTGTTGGAATACGTAGCTTTAAAGTGAGGGAGCAACTTTCTAGCACTCTAATCTGAGAGAAGACTCTGCTTTAGAGATTTGGGACTCGACTAGTGAAGAACTTCTTGCTTCTTAGGCTGCCAAGGCAACCATCCTCCCACAGACCCTGTCATATGTGGAGGCTAATCATATTGGTATGAAATATGGTGAAATAAGGGCAAAGGACTTCAAACTGTGTACATAACAGCGTAAACCGAGTTTCGTTCGTGCTTTGTTCTTTCTTTACCATTTGTTATTTTTGAGCTCTTAAATAAAAAAAACCCCAACCTGTTGCTTAGCAACACCGCATCGCTCCTCTCTTTATAAAGCCAAAAAAACTCCCAAAATAAGACAAAATAAAACATTTCTGTATAATAGCATGCTTTTTTTTTGTTCTTTGCATTATTTTGCCAGAAAAGAGATTTACCCTTACGCTCAGTGTATCGCTTGAGTGCATTGATTTGTGCCTTTGGAGAAAAACCTCTGAATGGAGGGATCTTTAAATGTGTGAATAAATGAGGAGGTACACTTTTTAATGGTATTTATTTGTGCTTTGGCATACAAAACAAGGATGCTAGTGACTTTAGACCAAACATAAGCTATGCAGTAGTAATATAACAGTCCCAGAATTCACACCTTAAGCCATTTGTCTTTTTAATTTGCTCATTTTGTTTAGTTTTCTGCAGAAAAAAACATTCATGAATCATCCATTCATGAGCATGATGCACTTTCACTTTCTCAAACACACTGACACCTGATAGGCCGCAGTTAAAGGGGACTTCCACTGATTTTTACAATTTTTTTTTTTTAATTTCGGCTTAATTCCTTCGTCCAGATGTAAACAAAGTCATTCAGAGTGGTTTGGTGTGAAATTGTGCACTGTAGAGAAACTTACAGACTCAGATCTCTTTACAGTGGTGATAGGAACCAGGGGTCACCATGTCTACAACACGAATATAGCCATTTTATTTACTGTCCAAAACCACCAGAGGACCTACACTTGTCTTTAAGTGTTTATTTGTAATGTTGATGATGGTAAAATAGTCATAAATCTAACAACACCACATTTTCTTTGGGGACTATTTTGCCTCACATTGCCCTGCATGTATACTTCTGCCATGAATGATTTAAAAGGCCAGACTTGCATCTCAAAACTATCGGAAAACAGTGTCTCAGACATCAGGCACTGCATTCGTAACCATTTCATGTAATAACTTTCTGTGAGGGAGCACTGAGAATCTTCAGACGTCTGGTTCCTATCACCACCACTGTGAACCATTCTGACTGGTTTTCTCTGAGCCCTTTAATTATGCAGAAATGTTGACCTAATCAGTTGAATTCTCTGTCAAAAAGACAGTATGAGCCATTTCCACACATACGCAGTCACACGCACCCTTGCTAAACATGCAAAACACTGAACGTCCAAACTAATTTCTTTAATTCCAGCTCTCGTTCACAAGACTAGCCAGCAGATACCTTTATTATAGTCCTCATACAGTGTTTCTCCTGCAAACCTGTTTCTAATGGCAGCTCTAATAGCCGTTTCGCAGCTATTTTCTTGTGGCTTATTTCTGATTGGTCGGTGATTTTAGTCCTGTGGCCAATCAAGAGTGCTGGGTTGGGTTAATGTACACGTTTAGAACGTACTGCTTTTTGCTGTTCTGATCTAAAGATAGAGAACGTGGTGTGGATCTGTAAAGGTTGTATTTATAAATAACTGTGTGACTGATGTCCTATAAGGGTCAACCTGAATCGTGTCACTTCTCTCGACAGTAACTTTGTTAGAAATATATCGTTTTAATGATATACTGTTTATACCAGTACAGCCTTATTCGGAGTGTATCTGTAGGTTTCAATGTGGGAGAAATCGGTATTTAGGTATTATTGTACAACAGATTGTAATTAAAGGGGGAAAAACGTTGACCTTTGTGTCTGTTTTCTTCAACAGGCTTTGATTGTCAGTCAATTTTGGAGTTGAATATTTTCGATTTCCAAGTATATGCTGGCTTAACCTCTTATTCTCCAGGGTATGTTTTGGTTTGTCCATCTGAATTTTCATGATCAAATCGTAAGGCAAATTATTCAGTAACTGCATGAAATAAATGTACATTTTTATTTTATTAATGTATTTATTGTAAAAGCTCCCCTCAGATTAACAGAACGTGTTTTATGATCACACGTATTGCTATATGCTTACAATTTACTGCTGAAAGCCAAAAATCTCAGACGCTCTTTGTATTATTTTATAAAAATAGTGTTTACAGAGCAGATCACTGAAGAGACGCCATCTGTTTATAGTTTATAGCCCAGATTTGTGGAAAAATGGGTCGACTTTCAGTAGAAAAAACAAATTATGAGTTCATCTTCTTTTATTGTAAGGGTTTAAAATTATATCACCCATCTATTTGACTGGAAAGAAGACTCTCATATCCACCTTTTGAATGTAGCTTATGAAATATGAAAGTTATGAAGAATATGAAGAAGTGAGTTTTGGAACCACCGGTGGTCTCAAGGAGTTGAAGAGGTTAAAGGTGTGTTTTACCTTTGAGATCACAGTTAAACGTGTCTCAGAAATACGTAATATGATGTAGGGGAGAGTGGGGCACAATTAACAAGAGATAAAATCTAATACCCTGTTTTAAATGTAGTTAAACAGGTTCAAGTGAAACCTGTGTCTTGTATTTCCATAACAGCGCTACCTGTGAATTCTAAAAAGCAATCAGATTCACCCTGTTCACTGTTTCTGTCCCATAAAAGTAACTTTTTTCATCCTAAGTATTTTTGATGACTAAATTGTGTGTTTAAAGGTGCAGTGTGTCAGATTTATTGGGGGATCTATTAGCAGAAATGGAGTATAGTTTACAAAACCATGTTTTCATTTCCCTTCATATCAACACTGGCTGTGTTGACATGCAAAGATCTTTGCCAATCTGATTGAACACATTCTGATTATAGATTAAGACTGAGGTGCTCACTCTACTCAACAATCTAATGGAAAATCTCTGTTTACATCCACGCTACAAGTAATCCAATCCAAAATTACGCACATGCGTAGAGAGCCGCTTAGACGTTACCATGACAACGAGCATTGCGTGAGTCCAGTCAGAGATGAGCAGCAGTGAGCAGTGCTTTTGTTTTTAATGACTTTAAAATGATGTCAGACTCAGGAAAACATCCTTCAGATGTCCTTATTAAAGAAGGCCGAGAGGAAGACGTCGTGTTCTGAGACACATAAGCTGGACATTCGTCCCACCGCCGTCTTTTAAATATCAGCGCATAAACTTCGTCTCCTCTGCAGACCAGTTTCTGCTCCGCCATGTTGAACGGTATAAACTTTCACTATGACGTGACGAACATGATCAGAACATACTTAAACTTTCTGATAGGGAATGTAATCAGATACAGATGTTTAAACGGATATTATTCTTCTATTTAACAGATTATTTACAGGATTACCCACCTCGTTCAGTCGGACAGAAACTGTATTCCGAATGGTCTCAATCGGTCTAGTCTATTCTGACTGAGGTGTTTACATGGACATATTCTATTCCGATTGAGCCATTAATCAGATTATTAATGGATTATTAGGCTGCATGTAAATGTGGCTACTGGGAACGAGTCTTTTAAAAGAGGCTACCATGTTGAGCCACCATGTTCCTTCAGTAGCCCAGAACAGACAAACCAAACAGTGGCTCTAGAGAGCGCCTTTCGCGTTTTTACGTCAAAGTGGCAGCTTGAATCTGGTGGCACTATAACAGTGGTTAGAAGACGTAGAAAGAGGAATCAGTGGCTGCTGCGGCTGCTACTGGCTACCCAGTTTGCGTTGTGAGAAGTTTGAGAACACAAATGTTGACAAATGTAGGATCATACTTATTATTCAGCACAAGAAGCAGCAAACGAGGAAGAATCTTCATCATCAAAGAAGCAAAAACTTGACAGCCACTATAGGTTCTAATACATGCTCGAACAGGGAGGGGTGAGGGAAGGGGATTCAGTTGGTTGCAATCTGCAACATCACCACTAGATGCCACTAAATCTCACACACTGCACCTTTAACCACCCTCTTGTTGCACATCACAGTGAGACCCAGCCAGGCTAAGGTGCAGGATCCACATGATGAGGTTAGCTTTAACAAGGTGCTACAACTAAGCGTACCAAAGTAAACATCTGTGTTCAGTAAGTTCAGGACAGCTCATTTTTTAAACCTTTTTATTCTCAGACTTGTCAGAAATCATACTATAGATGTCATATGAATAAAATACGAGTTTTGTCATGCTAATGTTGCTGTTCTGCTTTGTGCTCAAAAATACATTTGAAAACAAATTGTATTTATTTTGATGTGTGTAATTTTACACATTTATGCTAGAAAGTGACTTCTTGGTTCAAACAGCACAGAACTGTGTAACCTGAACTGTGTTTTGCATTGACTTTTAATGACCATCACAGCCCCTCTGTCTCTTACATTTAACCCTGCCTGAGGTTCTGAAAACAGTTTACATTTTCATTTATAACACAGTTTTGTAGTTTTCCTGTATAGTACGACGCCATTTTAGGGCCACTGTTAATAGAAATAAAAATAGTAGACTTACTTAGAGAAAAAAGTCGTACTATTTTGAGAAAAAACGTTGTAATACTTCGAGAAAAAAAAAAATCACAGAATTATATTAAAGTGGCATTAATACCAGGAAAGGTCTCAATATTGCGGCCAAAAGCTTTGTAAAGGGAAGGCAGCATCTCCTCCTGTTAAAATGTGGGGCGTTGAGTTGGTGGAGTTACACTTTCATAGCGATTCTCCCATAAAGAAACACTCAGTCTCCCTGTCTCTCCTGCTCATCAGCACCAGCCTGTTATTAGTATAGGAAACGGCTGAAACGGCTGAGCAGGAAACTGTGTTTATCTAGAATAAAGAGCCAGACGGACTCGGAGGAAACTGTGTTTATCTAGAATAAAGAGCCAGACGGACTCGGAGGAAACTGTCTGTCTGTGTTGTTGAAGGAGAATCTCAGGCAGGGTCGTCTACACAGCTATCGGGGGCTACATCTCCCCCCATTCAGAGAGGGCATGAAGTTTCACAGACAGTGAGAATGATGATCAAAATGATCCACAGAGAGACAGGAGTGAGTGGAGCTCCGGCGCCAGTACAGCAACCGAGACCCCAGCGCGTTATGGCAGCCCCCTACAGTTAGCCCCCCTACAGTTAGCCCACTTAATCCTCCAAATATTACAATTTTTTCCCTCGAAGTCTACAGTTTTTATTTACAGTGGCCCTAAAATACTGTTGTAGTATAGAAATGTAATTATCTGGCGCAAACATTTTTTAAATTATTGGGATTTTTTTTTTATTTTTGGGTTGTGCCCCCCTCTGCAGTAAATCAAATATGTAATCTGATGTCTGATGTGTAGTGTGACATATTTTCCAGTGTTTTGTGATTACACTCATGCAGGAAACGCAAAACATTTGTAATTATTTATTTATATCAAAAGAAATTCAAATAAGACAATATCAAGTCTTGATGTTCTTATTGTGTTTATGTTTGCCGTTACCAGTACTTCAAAAAAAACAAAACAAACAAAAAAAAAAACCCTACACAATCTGATTGGCTTTGGAGCTCAGTCCGTCTATACGACTGAAACATCCTGAACAGAGTTTTCACATTTAATCCAAAGTTCCAGACTCTGAAAAACAAACACTTGTTCACAAATTTATGCAGATGTCCTCTTGGGTGGCGGCTACCGAGCACTTTATTAGAAACACCTCCTTGTTTCTGTGCTCATTGTCCATTTTATCAGCTCCACTTACTATATAGATTCACTTTGTAGTTCTACAGTTACAGACTGTAGTCCATCTGTTTCTCTGATACTTTGTTAGCCCCCTTTTACCCTGTTCTTTAGTGGTCAGGACCCCCATGGACCCTCACAGAGCAGGTACTATTTGGGTGGTGGATCATTCTCAGCACTGCAGTGACACTGACATCGTGGTGGTGTGTTAGTGTGTGTTGCGCTGGTCTGAGTGGATCAGACACAGCAGTGCTGCTGGAGTTTTTAAACACCTCAGTGTCACTGCTGGACTGAGAATAGTCCACCAACCAAAAATATCCAGCCAACAGCGTCCTGTGGGCAGCGTCCTGTGACCACTGATGAAGGACTAGAGGATGACCAACACAAACTGTGCAGCAGCAGATGAGCTACTGTCTCTGACTTTACATCTACAAGGTGGACTGACAAGGTAGGAGTGTCTAATAGAGTGGACAGTGAGTGGACACAGTGTTTAAAAACTCCAGCAGCACTGCTGTGTCTCATCCACTCGTACCAGCGCAACACACACTAACACACCACCACCACGTCAGTGTCACTGCTGAGAATGATCCACCACCCAAATAGTACCTGCTCTGTGAGGGTCCATGGGGGTCCTGACCATTGAAGAACAGGGTAAAAGGGGGCTAACATAGTATGCAGAGAAACAGATGGACTACAGTCTGTAACTGTAGAACTACAAAGTGCTCCTATATAGTAAGTGGAGCTGATAAAATGGACAATGAGTGTAGAAAATCTCCTGTTGTACTGAAGTCAACTTTGGACCTGAATTTTCTGGCTACATAAGAAAACCTGCTTGGGGAAAATCACCCATGATCAAGCTTCCAGTGCCCAAAACACAGGCTGAATACCTTCTGCAGACTCCATTTAATTCATTACAAGACTTACTGTTCAAACATACTTACAGATCATAATATCTCTCAGCGATCTGGTCAAGAGTTCAGACAATGTTATGGACGGTGGTAAAAACAGTAAATAATGAATTAACAAAAAAAAAGAACATCTGACTCACACAAACATAGTAGAACCGATGCTCTAAAGATGTCAGTTCCGTCAAAAATTGTTGCTAATGTCGCTAATGATGAATGAAAGTGAATAGCCACTAATCAGCACTGGTGTCATGCTAACTGGTGGCTGTTCACATCTATTTCTTGGACGTTTAAAAAGGACCTATTTGAACTTTCTTGGGTATTACCGAAACTCAAAATGATGTCATTTGAGGCCAATTTCATCACTTACAAATCATATGCAATTTGCATTGAAAACATTGCACCCTTAAAAATAAAAGCCAGGAGACCTGTTTGTCTCAATGGTCACCATCGATTGGTTCAAACTAAAGCTAACTCACAGGAACCAACCAAGCAATCCAGAAGACCTCAATAATAGACGTCAAGTTGTATTAAATCTGGGTTTAGGACTCAAATCTACAGAAAGGTGGCTGGAGGTTTGGTAACCAAGGTAACAAGATTGACTTACAGGTCCCTGATTTATACTGATGGTAAACAGTCCCATTAAGTTAGCTGAATGAAAAACTTATATGAGCTGAACATGCACAAAAATAGGACACACTAAAAAAATAATAATACAAAATACAACTAAAAGTGTATATAAAACAACTTTAGACACTTTGTTCATTCCAGCTGTGATAACAGACGGGCAGCATGGGTTGGTATGACAGTCTGTACAGTCTAGTGCAGCTTCCATTGTGTAGCAGCAACAATTACAGCTCACTGGGTTCTACAGTCCTGGATTACCTGGATCTGGAGTAAGGTAGAACAAAACAGTGGACAAGGGGGGTCCTCAAAAGCAAGACTGAAAACTTCTTATGGGGGTTTAATGGACTTCTTCCCCCCAAAAACGGTTCTTCCTGTTTGTTACTGTGTCATTCAAGAGTTTTCTCAGAGGACGATCCATGTGCCTCTGTCGCTGTCAGCAAGTACTTGAAGAGAAGTGCCTACAAAATAAAATACGGAACACAGTGTTAATCCAGATCTTCTACTTTGTATCTACGCTTTGTATCTGGCCGCTCTATCCGAAATCCCTACGCCAGAGGTCGGCAACCCGAATGTTAAGAAGAGCCTATTTGTCCTTTCAACAAAAATCAAACCACCTTGGGAGCCACATTTTATGTCCATTTCACCATTTTGGCTGTAAATATGTCTCAGTATGCGCTGATGTCCTAGTATAGGATAAAAATATAATATAAATTAAAACGCAGACTTTTCTCTGCTTTCCTCCCATCTCCAGCAGGAAACTTTTCCTCAAAAGTGAAACAGTTTCTTGTAAAATGTCTCTCAATGGTTGACTTTTTACGAGGCTGAAGTCGCTTCTCATTCACCAGCTTCTCGTTCAAATTTTCCCGTTCCACCTTAAATGGTGCTGCATTTACATTCTGGCACCTCAGGCACCATTTAAGGTGGAACGGGAAAATTTGAATGAGAAACTGACTTCAGCTTCGCAACTTTTTAGTTTGACAGCTTCTCGTTGCAGATTAAATGCATCAGGAAACCAGCTGGAGAGATTATAAATGCAAATAAGTCCATTCGTCTCTGTATTATCGATGTTCGTCTTAAATCTTTCGTTAGCTACTAGATAAGCAAGACTGTTGTCTGCGCTGCTGTATGACCAGCTGTCTGACCAGCTGTCTGCATGCCAACCTTCATAGTTTAAAGGTCGGTGAATTAGCAGTTACATTAACTCCAGTGTTTAATATTTAAGTGTAAAGGAGGATTTTTTATTTTTACCTAAAAAGCTAATTCTGCTGTGGAGCCACAACAGGGCACTAAAAGAGCCACATGTGACCCCCGGACAACCCTATAGGTGAACTTTGTGGGCTGTAAAACTTTATCCTTCCCCTTTACCCCATTGATCAATGGTCAGGACCCTATCAAGACCACCTCTGACCAGAAATAACTTGGGTGACGGTCTAATTCTCAGCACAGCAGTTAAACCGACATGCTACTGTGTGGGGCTGGTGTGAGTGTATCAGACACAGCTGTGTTTCTGGGTGTTTACACACATCAGTGTCACTGCTAAACTGAGTGGACCACCACCCAAAAAATTCAACCAGGAGCAGCTCTGTGGTCTCTGCACACCAGTAAGGTGGAGCTACAAGGGAGGGGTTTCTGATACTGTGGTCAGTAAGTACTTGCTATGGTTACTCAAACATGTTTTTCTTCAAAGTTATCTGATTTAAGGTTATACATAAATACACAGTGCAGCGAGAAACTCCCATAAATATCACTACAAGCAATGTTACATGGACAGCATGGGGTGATACACACCTTTGTGCAGGGCTTCATTGGTCATGCGGTTGATGTAGCGAGAGCTACTCTCAGGAACGAGCCACCTCATAACTGTGTTTACACATGATTTTCTGTAAGAACTCCACACACTCCCACTGAGAGAGAGACACACACAACTGTAATCTCCAAAATGAACAACCCAACATAATTCAGTAGAAAAAAAAACAAAAAGTTACGTCAGGCACGTCTTTTAAGAACTTACAGATGTTAACTGACTAAAATTCAGTAATATTCAGAATGAGTCAACTTTAAATACAAAGTAAAAAGAATGCTGCAGGTTTCCCAGAGTGCAACACACACACACACACACACACACACACATATATATATATATTTTTTTTTTTAAGGCGTTTCCTGTCCCCTGTCTTTGGAACTCACTTATTTATAAAAGGTGTGTATTGCAGCCTTAGGTTTTTAGGCTTCTCTCCAGCAGGGGGAGTTTTTAGCACACAAGTAATTTTTTTGTACGTCATTTAAAGGGAAGAAACGAACAAATGTATGTGTTAGCAGCTACAATGAGCGGTGAAGTAGTTTTCAAAAAATGTCGTGTTACTTAGTATTATTATATATGATTAAATCATTTTGAAAAGTACACATGTCTCTAACCTACATTATGGTATGACAAAATTATAACAGAAAAAGAACTGCAACAAGAATCCTGGCACCCTGAATTCTGAGGTGCCTAGAGATTCCTATCTCTAGTAACTTGAGCGCAACCTGGGCTACAGGTGTAATAATGATAATAATAAAAATAAAAATAAGAATAACTGTAGTAAGAAAGATTGGTGTAATTAATGGTAATCCTTTCTAACTTCAGAACAGCTCACCTTGTTTGACCTTTGACCTCTGTGAGGTCACCGACACCCACAGTACAGCAGGCCCCCGTATTCAGATCCCAGCTGACCTGCAGACTGGAATGATACGATTTAGGCCTGCAAACACACAAATTCACAAACATTTAGTGAAAATATCAATTACATTTTAAAAACGTAAAAACACACTCTGGGTGATGAGCCCAGCTGTCAGTGAGTGAAGCTTCATGACGGCTTCTGTGATGCTGGTGAAGATGAAGCTGAACCCTCTGGGCGTTCGTTCATAGTTAGAACTGTTCACCTCTGGATGATCCACATGAAGCAGCGTGACACATTGTTCTTTTGCACATGTGGGTCAGTTTAGGAGCTGATCTGTTCAGACTGATATCATATACAGATCACATTTAAAAGACAATGTGAACAGGCAAACAAAAAATTGGATTTCGTGAGAAAATCTGATTTGGGCCACTTTTAGCTGCTGTGTGAACGTAGCCAAAGACTCCCTGAAGTGTTAAAGGCTGATAGCCTTTACCCTCCTAGTGCTGGTGTTGTGTGATTGGGCGAGACCAAACTAGTGGGTGGAATTGGACATGACGAAATTGGGGAGAAAATTTTTAAAAAGCCAAAAAAACACAAGAAAAAAAAAAAAACATGAATATAGTTCTACCAGGCCAATATTACCACTATTCATTCACTGCTACTCAAACTGTTTGAATGCATGTGCACTGACTGATGCAGGAAAACAAAGGGAACAGCTTTTGATCACTATTTCTGATTTGCATTACCGCTAAAATAATTTGCCAAGTCTTAGATTTGACACTTTTTTTTAGGCCAATTTAATCTTTGTTTTTTTTTTTTTTGGTCAAAACAAAAAGTGCCATATTCAGTGCATCCCTACTCTAAATAACAGATTTTATTTTACTTGTCTATTTTTAACGTCAATATAAGCTCCTCAGTAAAGATGTGTGAATAACGTGTAATGTATGGTTATAGACTATAAATGTGTAGTGACTGTCTAGGCTGGCTGGGCATGGCAGACCAACAGTGCATTCACATCTCTCACACTGTGTGTCCTTCACTCAATGTGCGTATATACTGTATATGTGTGTGTAGGCTCGTACCTGCTGTGTTCCTCCTCACAGTTGGAGAAGGCCAGCAGCAGAAGACCAATGTTTATCACCACTATATTCGTCTCCGGGCAAACCTGTCGTCATAGAAACAAATCTCAACACAGCACGTGAACAGTTGCCATGGCGATACACTTAAAACACAAGATATGCAAATGCGCTGAAATGTCAGTCAGAACAGTGCGGCACTGAGGCAGTTCAGGAAACTACATTTAAATTCTACATGGAGACAGAACATATAGAAACATGAGCACAGACACCAGCATCAGGTGCATACATGTATATAGTAATGTACACTGATCAGGCATAACATTATGACCACTTCCTTGTTTCTGCGCTCATTGTCCATTTTATCAGCTCCACTTACTATATAGGAGCACTTTGTAGTTCTACAGTTACAGACTGTAGTCCATCTGTTTCTCTGCATACTTTGTTAGCCCCCTTTTACCCTTCAGTGGTCAGGACCCCCATGGACCCTTATAGAGCAGGTACTATTTGGGTGGTGGATCATTCTCAGCACTGCAGTAACACTGACGTGGTGGTGGTGTGTTAGTGTGTGTTGCGCTGGTCTGAGTGGATGAGACAGCAGTGCTGCTCACACACACACACACACACACACACACACACACACACACACACACATACATACACACACACACATGCATACAAACACACACGTTTGTTTTTGATTTTGGACGTCACAATGATAGCATCGTTAAATCACCCAAGCTTTAGAGACACACACCTCTAGGATGACAACATCATAGTCGCTGAAAGAGCAGAACTGTGAGGCCCACTCGGCATCGTTCCTGATGACCTCGTTAATCAGATACTCAAAATCCAGAGTTAACTGCTCTACGCACACACACTGGAGAGAGAGAGAGAGAGAGAGAGCGCGAGAGAGAGAGAGCGAGAGCGAGAGAGAGAGCAAGAGAGAGAGAGAGAGAGGAAGCGAGCGAGAGAGAGACCATTTTAACAATTACTTCATGTAGCTGCGTTTAGGAACTGTGCCAATTCCCAAGAAACAGCGATCAGCTGATAAACAATAATAGCTGAAAGTAGTGCAGTTTTACAAAAATAGCACACCACATTTCACATTTCAATACTGGAAAGCAGCCTGAGAACATTTCACACAGCTTAAAAAAAGAAAAGCATACTTTATCAAATGTCATTTGAACATTATTCCACATCATGGAAAACCAAATTTCCTTCATTTTTTAAAAGAATAATCCTGATGACATTCTTGGTTTAGTTATGTGATGTCAAGTCAACTGCGAAGCCCAGGTTTTGAGTCAGAGCAGAGCAACTGAGTCAGAATGAGCATCGGTAGTTGACAGAATAACTGATTATAGAAGTAAATGTTAGTCACAGCCCTGATAGGAACACACCTGTCCGGTGTAATGTCCCGTCACCAGCTGCAGGTTTCGTCCCTTCAGGTCCGAGACGGTGAAAGGCAGCTGAACCTTATCGTCCTCTTCTTCTGAGAGAGAGAGTCAGAAAGAGAAGTAAAGAGACATTAGTTCATTATTCTATGCTTACTGTGTTCTTTCACATCTAAACTAGTAAAAATGTCTTATGACAAATTATTGTCAAAACACACTCTCCTTAGGATCCTGTCTCGTCAATCGTGCATACCGACATCAAAGGCACAAACTGACATCCACATGAAAAGATCAAAAAATACACAGACATCCACCTGAAAAGACTATAAAACATACAAAAAAGTTGCATAACAACAACAAAGCACTCAGCTGTATTACCCTGTGAACAATACAGTGCTTGATACCAGCACTGCCTTCAAAATACTACAGATTCTTGTGAGATTGCACTTTTCATTATGTACATTATCAAATCCAAATTGCTACCCAAACATCGCATGTACGTTTGGCGATGTGGAGACGTCTCCAGTGGAAATGTGTAATTGCATGCAACATGCGGAACAATATTTTGTAACGTGGGTTGCGCTTCAGACCCCTTAACCAAGTGGATGAATCTGATTACTGCGAGCACATTTAAAATATTCCCAGAAAACTCAGTCAAAACCTGGTGTCTTCTGAGGATGTGAGAGAATTATCTACTACAGTCATCATATCTTCATTAGTATAGCGTTGATTTTGCATTTGAGACCTAAACATTGAGTCAGACCTTCTTTCTGAGCCTGTGCATGTGGCGTTTGGAGTGTTTCTGGAATAAGTAACACTAATTATCAATATTTAATTCAAATGATCAATACTCTTGGTCTGACTAACATGACTAAATGTATTAAATGATGGTTGAAGTTTCAAAAGTATTTTTTTTAAATGCTACCTATACGCTATTCACACAGGTGTGGAACATACACAATAAAAAAAGATACACATCTACATTTTGACATAAAGATGCCTGAGAATTTTAATATGACCATAAAAATTCAGAGCATATTTTAGCAAAATTATTTTAAAGGGCCCACATTATGGAAATTTTCTTCACTTCTGTAAGTGTTAAACAACACTGAAGTTTGAAAAATGTGCTGTTTACTTCCTGGTCCACATGTGGAAAATAAGATGAAAAACAGCCCATTTGAATTATTTTTGTGATGACATGAATATCAGACCTGCTTTTTTAAAAAGCCACAATACAGGGCAGACAATTAGAACAGAGATCATTTACATACATCAATCTTAAAGGCACAGAAACACAAAGCACAAACAGCCTGTTTAATTCTAAGGAACAAAGAGAGGCTGTAAAACGGTCACTGAAAACTGGATGGTGACTGTTTTTGGCACATAAACATCTTAAACATCTTAAACGCACCTCTGAGAAAAAACAAAGACAAGAATCATTCAGGATTTGGACCCAATTGTCTGTTATGATATTCCAAAACTGGTGCTGTTTAACTGCCATCCTCATGCTGGGTTTTTGTGTTTTGGAAAAAACCTTTGTTCCATGTCTCATCGCGGTACGCCACCAACGGCAGCATGCAGCCAAGGAGATGTTGCCATGGTGACAGTATCAACAGTGAAAACAGGGGATTTTCAAAGGAGAGCTTCAGCTGTGTTGGCTGTTTATTTAACGTGGGGGGAAAAAAACAGCAGGAAGTTCAGTACTGGTTTGTTTTTGCTGTATTACACTGTGTTGTCTGGACTTCAATGACACACTCGGGGTTCATGGCTGCTTTAAAACAACTTCCTGTTTATTCCACTTGCCTAGAAACACCAAAACTTGGAAAAATGTAACTCCTGATGGAGTGTTTCACTGACCACTGCAGTACGCTGCTGTCACTGGCAACACTTTCCGTTGCTGTTCCATTGAAAACAACGGAACATACAGTTTAACCTACTGCCAACATGTAATCACAGGATTAGATCAATGAATCTCGATGCACTGATGCCTTTCTACACCCGCTGCGTGTGCGTCTTACCGCTCTCCTGCTCTGATGACGCTGACTGCTGGAGTCTGTATCTGAGCCGCGTGTAATTCACATATCCAGGCTCTGATGAGGATGACGATGAAGCACGAGGTGACAACGAGGAGGCTGAGGAAGTGGACGCTGGAGACATGACTGTGTTAGCGTCTTCCTGCTCCGTGGACAACGACGTACTCTGGTTCCCACTTGAAGTGGACGGCCCTGGGAGGCTCACTTTATCGTCCTCTGTTTGGTGAGAGTGGGCGATATGGCAGAAATACAACATTACAACGTATAACCACATTTAACCCTTTTGTAGTGTTGGTGTTTTTGTTACTCAGTGGTAACAATTTATGTAAAAATATCAGATATTTAAAGTATCACAAGTGGTCAGGGTAGGATTCTCCTTTAGCAGCTGTAGCCAGTCAGCAGCCTGTCCATGTTGTCTGCCCTCACACACACACACACACACACACACACACACACACACACACACACACACAGCAGGCCATGTAGGAGGAGAACAGAGTGAAGGGAAACAGCGCCTCCACACTTTTACTCCCCGCGGGTTCACCCAACACCATATGTGTAACATAAATGTGTGGGGGGTGAACAGAGTGAAGACACTAAAAATGTGTTATTTTATATGTTCTTCACAGAAAATGAGCAAAGGCCAAGGAATCTTGAGGTTGAAATAATAATAAACCGCATCATTTTTTCTTTTGGTAAACATTGAAAATGGGTCACAGAGACCTGAACACCACACAAGGGTTAATTATACACACAATTTTCAAAGTACTCTCAAAACTTAGGGTGCAAATGCTGTCACGACATCAGTTCTCTTAAGGGGAATGTCTTCAGTTAGACAACTGTAAGAACATGCTCCCATTTCTCCGGGGAAAATGAATGCAGTGCACATTTTAAAAAGATACACAACTGGACCTTATGGGCACATTTACACTGCTTGTACTACGGGGTAATAAAATGTACCTGGACAGCATCCTTTTTCTGACCCTTTTCCCTCAGAAGAAACAGGAGGAAAAATAAGAAATATTGGTATTGTCATAGAGGACTGGACAGGTGTCCAATCAGCTGCTTGTTAGTATGTGGTTTACATAGCTACTGTACACTTGAGGCTCTTCGCAAGATCTTTATAACTGGTTTAAATTTGTCTGTTTTAAAATGTTATATACAGCTGCTGAGTGTTGTAGAACAAAACAGTGAGTAGTCGACAATTACTGATGACTGAGAACTTGAAGAGAGGAGAATTCCCACTCTGTAATGTCTTCTGGGTTTCTCAAACACTAGAGGGCGCTCCCGAGCGAGTTCAAAATGAATGGGTTTATATGGAGCATTTGAGCAAAATCATAGTTTATAAATGCTTAAACATTTTTAATATAAAACAATGCAATCATTTCCTGAACACAGAACAGCATAAAACATTTTAACACTGCTGTTATATTTTTAAGAGCTTTTAAACTCGAGTTATAGGAGTTTAAAACGGTACGTCCATGACGTCTGTGAGCGCCAACAGCCAATGAGCTGCTCCGCTCACCAATCAATCAGCACTCAGCAGCAGTAATGCCCGCCTTCTGCTGCCCAAAACCCGTTTTCTGTAGAAAAAAGGAAATACATAGGCAAGGTTTCTTTGCTTTTTTAGTGAAATACATCCTTCTACTTTCTAAAATTAAAGGAAAGCTCTGGGCGAGTGATTAGAAAACTATGTTTTTAGCTGTTTAGCCCCATTCACCCCCATTCATTGAGGACTCGCTTGCGGACGCCCTCTGCTGTTTAACAGCCCTGTTTTTGATATAACGGGGGAAATAGGAAGTGGCCAGGCTCCTCATAAACCAGCTCTGCTGACACCCAAGATATACTCATAAAAGAGTACTGTGGTGTAATTTATCACAGCAACGATAACCTATTATTGTGCTACCTGTCCTACTGTTTTAACCTTTTTTTCTTCACCTTTCTCTCTTGTTCTTCGCTCTGCTTCTCCAGAGGGCCTGTGTGAGCCTTGGTCTTTCACCTCTGCCTTCTCCTTTCCATCGTTTTCTCTTCTGCACCGCTCACTCTCTCCCTCCGTCCCAGCTGCCTGCGCCCGGCGGAAAATGTCCGCTGCAAACTCTCGCGCCCTCACGGCGGCCTGAGAGCGGCTGGGTGAGAGCGGTGTGGGGTGGGGATTGGCCTGTCTGCGGTCAGGTGACCCATGAGAGGAGGAAGATGAGGATGAAGATGAAGGGCTGGGTGGATGAAGAGAGGAGGAAGAATGAGCCTCCCTCTTCCTGTACAAGATTTGATTATTCTGCCCATCCATCTCCTGCTTCTCTCCTGAGAGAGAGAGAGAGAGAGAGAGAGAGAGAATCTTTAGAGAAAAACATATTGTATATGAAATTACTATATGTCCAAATGTTTCCAGATACAAGTGTTAAAACAAAAAGCACTGACAGCAGAACAGACAAGCTTAGGGTCACCATATGCGATCCATACACAGCCAGAGGGGAGAAACCTCCCTGGTGGTGCTTGCAGTGATAAAGCTCCAAATAAGCCTTGTGTTACTCTGCAAAGGAGATGTGCTCTTTGGAGTGACCAAGCACACTCACTGAGTTCCTCTGGGATCAGTTGGAGCAATAAATCTCCATTCAACACCTTTGGGAATAGCTGGAGACACAAAGCTCCACTGGATATTTCTGGTACGGAATGGACTGATTAGGCTCTGTTGATGAACATCTTTGTGAAAATTATGCACATGCATAGAGAACTATTTAGTGCAGACGTTACCATGACAACGTACATCACGTGAGTCCAGTCAGTGTGAGATGAGCTGCAGTTCGTTACCTGAGTTTTCAGCTGAAGCGCTTGTGTTTTTAATGACTTTAAAATGATGTCAGACTCAGGAAAACGTGCTTCACATGTCCACATGGCCGAGAGGAAGACGTCGTGTTCTGAGACACATAAGCTGGACGTCCGTCCCACCGCCGTCTTTTTAAGATCAGAGCATAAACTTCGTCTCCTCTGCAGACCAGTTTCTGCTCCGCCATGTTGAACAGTATAAACTTTCACTATGATACGACGAACATGAACAGAACTTACTTAAACTTTCCGATAGGGAAAGTAATCAGATACAGGTGTTTACACGGCTATTATTCTTCTATTTAACGGATTATTTACAGGATTACTCACCTCGTTAAATCAGATAGAAACTGTATTCTGAATAGGTTCAATTGGACTAGTCTATTCTGATTGAGGTGTTTACATGGACGTTTTCTATTGCAGTTGAGCTATAAGTCGGTTCATGCATCAGGCTGCTTATAAACGTGGCTAGTGGTATGAACTGAAATGAAGAAGTTCCACTGGAATGAGATGGAGTGATGAGTCGCAGTGAACACCTCTGGGATAAGTTTGAGTGATAAAGCTCCAATGAATTCCTGAGGGAAGGAGAGAGTGATGAAGTTTGCTCAAAAGCTTTTGTGATGAGCTGAAGCTCCACTTGAACATCGCTGGGTTGAGCTGGAGCGACAAAGCTCCTCTGAATGCCCCTGGAATGCCTTGGAAACTGCTTTGACGACACTCCACTGAACTGAAGGCAACTGGATAATTTGCAATGACAAAGCTCCACTGAACACCTCTGGGAAGATGAAGCTCAACTGAACATGTTTTGGAAGAGATGGAATCACAGTTTCACTAAACACTTTCAACTGAACAGAATCAAACCCCAGAACAAAATGTTTCAACATCTGGTGTAAAGCCTTCCCAAAAGAGTAGAGGCTGTTTCTGCAGCAAAGGGGCAACAAACTCCCTATGATTTCAGAGGAAACCCTAAATAAGCAAGCATCTGGACTACTTTTGGACATACTGCAGTTTCTTTTAGGCTTTCCTTTTACACAGATAAAGACATTCACAAATACAGACATAAAATTGGACAGAGAGAGCAAGACGCACAGACAGAGCTCCTCACCAGAGCAGAGGGAGATGGCACAGGCCACCAGTGAGTAGCTGGTGTTAAGAAGGATGACCTGATCCTTCTTCAGTTGTAGAGCTGGCTGGAAGGTGGGGAACGGATAGACCACCTGATAACGCGCATTCAGTACATAACCGTGCTCCAGACACTCTCCTCCTGGGTGGAGGGAGAGAGGGAGAGAGAGAGAGAGAGAGAGAGAGAGAGAGAGAGAGATATCAATACCACATCTGCATGTACAGTAGCTGGGGGTGGGCAATATGACAGTATTTTATCATGACTATGAAAAATTGTGTCACAATATGGTGTTCTGAGCTTATCTTGGATATCGTAAGTGCCTAAAGAACACTGACCAACTTCATATTTCATTTCACAGAGAGCATAATTAGTCCTGTTTAGTTTCATTTATTGCAGTATTTTGTGAAACACTGAATAAAAATCATCATAGCTGTATGTTTTCTATAGTATTTTTTATATGTGGCACTACAAAGGCTTTTTTGTCTTAGCAAATCTCAGAAAATCTCAATATCGTCACATGTCATGTATTGTGAAAATATCCTGAAGTATTGTGAATATCATGTATTTTTGCCATATTATCCAAACCTAGAAGTACCATATGAGTACCTGTGCGTATAGTAGATGCAGTAGGTACAGGGCAGCACTGCTGGCAGGGCTTGGCAGGAGGCATGGAGGCGATGGTGATGTAAATGTCTCTGTTATTCTCATCACTCATCATCATGTTCATCAAAGCTGAACTGCTGCTGCGTGTACTGATTCACACAAAGAGAAAAAATAATAATTAAATAAATTAACAGAGGAACCAATATATTTGCAATATGATCAAATATTCTAAAAACAAACAACAAAGAGCTGTATTCATCCATCTTTACAGAATCAGATGAGTTCCAGCTCAGTGGTCTGCACATGCATAATAATTCACGGTTTTAATGCTCTTGAATTACTACTGTTTCTGAGTCTAAACACTGTTAACAATTTTAATATGACTTCAAGAAAAAAGTTACAATGCTTGAAACCACTGATTTAGTTGGGCACCTAGCAGAGAATCTAAGAGGTTCTCACTTGAAGCCGAAAATGACGATCTTAGAGTGGTCATTGTGCCATTCGCACACAGTCAGATACAGTTCACTGTAGATATCTTCACCTGCAAACAAACGTACATGGTGCACCTGAAAAGAGATCGAGACACAGAAACAGACAAAGAGAGCCATCAAATATTGGATATTAAAACCTTTTTTAGACTGTAATATGAATACTAACTGTATTAATAGCTTTAATTTATTACAATCTAATATTAAGAAGCACACTAGTGTGTTTGGTCACATCATCTATGAATGTAGAGTATGGACTGACCTGGTGGACAGGTCAATGACACTCTGTCCCTGTTAGGGACCATTACCTGTTTGAGGCGGCTGTGCAGGTTGAACTCCCACCAGTACAGGTGGTATGTGTAGAAGGAGAAATCGTCATCCTCGCCACAGTCGCTGGTGTAGGACAAAACGTAGCGCCCGCACTTCGTAAAGCCTAAGAAGATGTGACTGAAACGGGGACACAATATGGTGAGGTCAATAAGCATGTCCTGGTTGCATATGCCCTCTAGTCAGTTCCTGTAGTGGAGAGTGGACACCTACCCATAAATGATTAAAAAGAAATTCTACCAACTGTTCACAATTACTGCATAACAAATTAGGTGGTTGATATGAAATGCTGTTGTAAAGAAACACTATATCACCAAAAGTATTCGCTCGTCTGCCTTCACACGCATATGAACTTGAGTGAAATCCCATTCTTAATCCATAGGGTTTAATATGATGTCAGCCCACCCTTTGCAGCTATACCAGCTTCAACTCTTCTGGGAAGGCTTTCCACAAGGTTTAGGAGTGTGTTTATGGGAATTTTTCTTCCAGAAGCGCATTTGTGAGGTCTGACGCTGATGTTTGACGAGAAGTCCTGGCTCACAGTCTCCGCTCTAATTCATCCCAAAGGTGTTCTGTTGGGTTGAGGTCAGGACTCTGTGCAGGCCAGTCAAGTTCTTTCACACCAAACTCGCTCATCCATGTCTTTATGGACCTTGCTTTGTGCACTGGTGCACAGTCATGTTGGAACAGGAAGGGGCCGTCCCCAAGCTGTTCCCACCAAGTTGGGAGCGTGAAATTGTCCAAAATCTCTTGGTCTGCTGAAGCATTAAGAGTTCCTTTCATTGGAACTAAGGGGCCGAGCTCAACTCCTGAAAAACAACCCCACACCATAATCCCCCCTCCACCAAACTTTACACTTGGCACAATGCAGTCAGACAAGTACCGTTCTCCTGGCAACCGCCAAACCCAGACTCATCCATCGGATTGCCAGATGGAGAAGCGTGATTCCTCACTCCAGAGAACATGTCTCCACTGCTCTAGAGTCCAGTGGCGGCGCTTTACACCACTGCATTCGACGCTTTGCATTGCGCTTGGTGATGTAAGGCTTGGATGCAGCTGCTCGGCCATGGAAACCCATTCCATGAAGCTCTCTATGCTGTTCTTGAGCTGATCTGAAGGCCACATGAAGTTTGGAGGTCTGTAGCGATTGACTCTGCAGAAAGTTGGTGACCTCTGTGCACTATGAGCCTCAGCATCCTCTGACATTTTACGTGGCCGACCACTTTGCGGCTGAATTGCTGTCGTTCCCAATCGCTTCCACTTTGTTATAATACCACTGACAGTTGACGGTGGAATATTTAGTAGTGAGGAAATATCACGACTGGACTTGTTGCACAGGTGGCATCCTATCACGCTGGAATTCACTGAGCTCAGCAGTCTCCATGCCTAGGTGCTTGGTTTTATACACCTGTAGCCATGGAAGTGATTGGAACACCTGAATTCAATGATTTGGATGAGTGAGTGAATACTTTTGGCAATATAGTGTATTAGCATTAAGCCCTTTTTGGGTGGGATTAGTTTTCCATGGGGAGGTGGGGTGATGCTAGTTTACCTAAGAGAATCTGTAATGTTTATGTTTATGTATATCACACTGGATAAGAATCTTGGTCTAAAGAACAGAGATGGGAGCAGCTACACGATTTACCTGCCGCCTTCACCCCAGAAAAGGTTAGAAAGCATGTTAAAACATTTAATTTAATTTTGTTTACCCTAACCATTTACCCTTCGGCCTGAGTACAGTGTGTCATCAGCTTCGCCATTAACTTGGGGAAAAAACAGTCAATTCACCATATAAAAAAATTTTAATTTTCTGTAATTTTTTCATGTTCTGAGTTGTACATGTAAGACCGGACAGTAACTTTATATATCGGCTTGATTTTAGCCAGAGGGAACAGCGAGGCTGAAGTTGGCTCCTTATTAGGCAGCTTGTTTGAATTTTCCTGTGCCACCTTAAATGGTTCAGCAGTTAGATTACGGCGCTTTAGGCATTATAATAATAACTGATATATCATTTAAGGTGGAACAGAAAAATTCAAACGTGAGGCAAGTGAGAAAGAAGCTGACTTGAGCTTCATCAAAGAACACAAGTAAGTGCTTCTTTGAGCCTCCATACTCAAGAAACTATTTTTCTCATGGAATATGACAGCGTTATACCGGCACATCGATTTGCACAGGACTAACCTAACCTGTGCTTATTTTTAACGGCTCGTTTTACAGAAGGTAAAATGCGCTGAAGGTTTACTGATGCGGGAATGTGCAGTCGGTAAAAACGACTGACATGGTGCCTTTGGACAGGACTACAATCACTGAGAAACGCCAGTGATAACTACATTACCCCACTTCCTAAAGTTAAACTAATCCTGTCTGAATAGAGCTTTAGACACAGAGAAACTTGCAGATCTGTTCACAGCGGTGGTGAAAGGAATCTACAACACAAAAGTTATTACACAAAACAGTAACAAATACCAGAGACATTGCTTTCTTACAATAGTTTTGAAAAGAATTTGGCACAAAACAAAGAAAATGTATTTGTTTTGGATTTACCTCTATTTTACCACAGTCAACATTACATATAAAAACTCAGAAGACACATGTAGGTTCACTGGTGGTTTTGGATAGTAAATAATAGGGGTGAGGGAAAAAATCAATTCTTAGATGCATCGCGATGCAGACGTGGACGATTCTGTATCAATTCACAAAAGCCAAAAATCGAATTTCTAAATATTTAATTGATAACGTAATGTTGACGGAACGCAAAAGGCGGAACTTGGAAGTGGGTAAGTGCAGCGCCCAGACCGGCTCCGCATTAAAGCCAGGTTAGGTCGGGAGTCACAACACAAATGATAAGAAGAGCCATTTTGTCCTTTCAACAAAAAACAAATCACCTTGGGAGCCACAACATTAAATATCTCAGTATGTGCTGATGTCTTAGTATAGGCTAAAAAATATAAACGAAAACGCAGATTTACTCTGCTCTGCTTTAAGCTTCAGCTATAGCCACTTTCCTCTCATCTCCGCCAGAAAACTTTTCCTCAAAAGTTGAATAGTTTCTTGTAAAATGTCCTGTTTTACGAGGATGAAGTCGCTTTTCACTCGCCAGCTTCTTGCTGAACTTGCCCATTCCACCTTAAATTCTGATTGAGGCGCCGAATGTAAATACGGCACCATTTAAGGTGGAACGGGAAAATTAGAAAGAGACTTCAGCTTCGCACCTTTTTAGTTAGTGTTTGACAGTCTCTCGTTGCAGATTTAACGTACCAGGAAACCAACTGCGCTGCTTATAAATGCGAATAAGTCCGTTCATCTCCAAATGTTCGTCTGTCTTTCTCTTTTCCTTTTTCGTTCGCTACCAGCGAGACGAAACCTCGTTGCTACATGAGAAACGCCAGTTCTCAGTCGTTGCGAAACAGGGGCTTTTTCACCCCCACCCCCCACCACGAGACCAAAACCGAAGTTATAAAATCACTAAAGAAAACAGGCAGGACGGCTGTAACGTGCTGCGTGGACATCCATTACCACTGGATCTTATTTCACCGTAACAGCGCATTTTAGCACAGATGAGTGGCAGCAGCATCACATCACTTCCATTTGATTTATTAATAAAAGATATTGGACGTAAATGCATTATGGGTCATTACAAATACTTTGCTTTAAAACTACCAAGACAGTAGGAAAATAGAAATCATGTATAGAAAAAAAAAGATGCATCGAGATGCATCGATAATCGTTTTATAATCGCATCGCAGCCCTCTGAATCGTAATCGAATCGAATCGTGAGGTGCCTAAAGATCCCCACCCCTAGTAAATAAAGTGGCTGTATTTGTGTTGTCGACATTGTGACCCTTGGTTCCCATCACCACCACTGTAAAGAAATCAGAGTCAGTGTGTTTAAATACAATGAATAGTTTCACATCAAACCACTCCGAATGACTTTGTTTAAATCTCAAACACTGAATTTTGCAAAAATTTTGAAATATCTGCAGCCTTTCCATGCTGATATACTGCTTTCTTTATGTATACATAAGGGAATGAAAGGTCCTTCTGTATAGAAGTGGTGTCCCTTAATAAGTGTAAACTTAAAGCAACAGTTGAAATGAAAAATCAAATTGCTCAATTTCCCCCTTCAGGATTCAAGAATTATTATTATTATTTTATTATGTATTATTATTTAAGCCCCCCGTAACCCTGTAAAGGTGTAAGGCGGTGGGGACAGACAGCAGTTTGGCCAGACACATTTCCAAACACTCACCCTGCTCTGAGGAACTCCTCACTGACTATAGTCTTCAGTGGCACACAGACGCGAGGTGGAAGCTTCCGGAAAAGTCGCTGGGACAGTTGGCCGTAGAGCTGCAGAGGGAGAAACAGTGAGAGTGAATACGTAAAGGAATGACAAACCAACTGCACTTTGATAGAAGGAAGTGGGAAATTACAGCCTAACATCCCAAAGCTATTTCTATCTCTACCGGACAGTCTAAACAAATCAATCTTCAGTAAAATATGCTTTTATTACTGAAATCTCAAAATTTAAATCAAGCTGCATATTAACTTTATTAACTACATTAACGCGCTTTAACGTGGTTTTGCTAATCACTGCAATCTCACATTGAGGTTCACTGTGGCCAAATCTCACTCACTGTCCAAGTAATTTTTAGTAACACTATTAATGACAGAGGTTTTGCCTTTTGCTGCTGTATAAAGCGATGTAAAAAGCCTCTTTGCACACTGTGGAAAAGGTGGACAAAATAAAAGCGGTTTAGTTTACAAAATTAAAGACATTAAAGGGGAATTCCACTATTTTCTCAACGATTCTAAATAGTTCAGTCTTTGAGATGTAAACAAAACCATTAAGAGTTGACGTGAAATGGTTTATTGCAGCAAAACTCACTGACTGATTTCTTTACAGTGGTGCTGATGGGAACCAGGGGTCACAATGTCAACAACGCAAATATACCCATTTTATTTACTGTCCAAAACCACCAGTGAACCTACACGAGTCTACTGAGTTTGTATTTGTAATGCTGATGATGGTAAAATAGTAAAACTGAAAATGTGTTTTCTTTGGGGACTATTTTGCCTCACAACGCCCGAATGTATCCCTCCGCCATGAATAGATAATATCTAACAATCTCATGTGATAACTCTCTGTGATAGAGCTTTTAGAGGCATTAGACTCTTCAGACGTCTGGTTCCCATCACCACCACTGTGAACTATTTTGAGTCTGAAAGTTTCTCCAGAACGGATCATTTCACACCAAACCACTCTGAATTACATCTCAATCGTTTAATTATGCAGCATTTTTCTGGAAATTCGGCGGAGTTCCCCTTCAAGTCTGTTCCTCTGAGTCGCTAGCAGGAGTACCAACACACACCACCTGAGGTTTGACCGTTAGACCTGACTGTTCAGCGTCTACCTGACTATGTCTACCTAACCCCTGAGCTGCTGGCTGTGTGAGGCCGTTTCTGTCGCACTGTGAAGCCGCAGGGCTGATCGTGTCGCTCGGTTAGCTCTCGTTAGCTTTTGTCACTGCAGACCGTTTCGGAGGTTTAGCCGTTTCCACAGCGCTGACAGTCCGCTGGTTGATAACTGACCGGTCGCTCTGTTCGCTCTAAGTTACCTTCCCCCGTGTGAGGACTTTGACGACGTGCTCTTTCTGTTTTCGCTGCTGTTTTTGTTTTTGTTTCTGCTCGTCTTTCTCCGATTTCGAGCTGGGCGCCATTTTTGCTTCTTGCCAAAAAAATCCCTCGGCTCCGCCCCGCAGCCCCACCCACCTCCGCCAATGATTGGCTGCTGGCGGAGCTTTACGGCACGCTCATTGGTCCGAACGCTCATCAATCAAATCCGTAACTCGTTCACAATTCCTGATTGGACGCTGCAAAGGTCTGAATATTCATCGACCAATCAGTGTATTGATGTCCACTGAATGTCTGAAAGAATAAATACAATTAAGATTAAATTAAATTAAGAATAAGCAAAAAAGTCACAAAACCACTGTAATGTATACCCGCTAGCTTGTATACTTTCAACGTGGTGATATATATACATTTATTCACACACACACCGATCAGGCAAAACATTATGACCACCTGCTTGTTTCTACACTCATTGTCCATTTTATCAGCTCCACTTACTATGTAGGTGCACTTTGTAGTTCTACAGTTACAGACTGTAGTCCATCTGTTTCTCTGCATACTTTGTTACCCTGTGGTCATAATGTTATGTCTATCTGTGATATATATACTCACACACACAGGTGAGGCCGTAAGTTCTGTTATTGAATGAAAAGCAGAAAAAGCCGACCCCTGAATGGTTCCCTAAGACTAGTTTGAAATGGGCTGTGTCGAGTGTCCTTAGAATTAAACAAAGCCTCCACGAGTTACAGCTGTTTTTAAGTAATGCTCCAGTCCTTCAGGATTGATTGGAATGTGGTTGTCACGTTGTTTGGAAAGTCAACATTTTTTTGGATAATTATTCAGGTTTAGGCTTTTGCAGATAATTTCAGTTCCATGAGGACTGGATGAAAACCAGGACAAGGTACTACCTGGCCGAGCTCCTTGGCTGTAGGCTTTACGGTTTGGTCTGCACGACTTGTTTAAGGGCAAAAAAATAATTTACGCCAATCTGAACAAAAACTTGTTCTCCGTGCTTGGACCCCTAATGGACGTCTGTTTGGACTTGTTAACGAGGACGCACTGAAAGGGTAATCTCTGTGATGCAGTACCAGCAAATGACCGCGAGATGTCGCCCATGTTGCACAGCGTGAGACCCTCAGAATGATGTGTGACCTGAGAAGTCCTCGTAACTATGAGGCACCAAACATGACAAAAGACGTGCAAGGAAACGTGACACAGAATGAACATTTAGGGTGCGAGAGAGGTTGAGATACTGCGCGAGAGAGAGTGAAACTGCGTGAGAGAGAGATTGAAAGTTTATTTATCTGAAGCGTGCCTCAATCATGCTGACGCAGTTCTGTCTTTTTTAGCTTGCTGTCCTGGCGTTTGGTCTGCCACTAAGAGTTATGGGTAACAAGGCCAAAGAAAACGTGCTGCAGAACAGATGATAAGAAAAAGAAGCACAGAAAACCGTTTTATTGTTGGGGAAAGCCGCATGCATGGGTTTATGAGGAAATACTAACTTTTTAAATATACAACTGAAATAGTCCCTCTCTCCTTATTGTTGTGTGATTGATCAACTTTCACCAGTGTCATAAATAATAATGTGTTTTGTTAGAATATCTAAAAGGGTAACATTAACATTAGATCATTCAGATGGCTGTAGATTGTATGGTATAACAGGCTACCATCTACAAATTACTGTTGACTTTTATTTTACCTTAAAATCCTTAAGAAACAATTCACCTTGGGCTTCCACTGGTCCTAACTAAAGATGGGTGAAGCAGTGGGTTGAGCTGAGGGTGGAGTTTGTGCTCCACTTGCAAAAGCATTGCTGTTATACTGTCAAGAAGCTCAGACAGCAGGGGCATAGGACAGGGCCTTGACCATCCTGCAGCATACGATTATATTACAATAGGATTTCGTTCTAAGTGATTGTGAGTAAAGTACATAATATGACAAAGAATAGTGTATAATAATGTTTAATAATGCTACAATGAGTAAGCAAAACAATATGATACACACTCATTAATAGCATTTGACCAGGGTCTTCCAACAACAGGTGGCAGGGTTCCAGATTAGTGAAATCACTAGCCTGCAAACGTTCACAAAAAACATGCAAGTGTTCAGCTCCCTAACGTACTGCTTTATATCATTACACTGAATTGTAAAAAAATTAAGATAAATAAAGACTAAGGCTGTGTCCCAATTGCACAGTTAATACTAATACTAACTAGTGTTTGAGTATGTAGCATGTAGAATCGTCACAAGTGTCAAAGTTGAGTATACTCAAAAATCCACAATGCATACTTAGAACCAGTTGATTTTTGAGTATAGTAATGATGGACACTACTGTCCCACAATCCAACGGGAAACAGAAAGGGAGGAGCCTCTCGCGTCTAGAAAATGCTGAAAAAAATGGCAGACGGCGACACGAGAGCAGCTGCGGTGGTAGCGGGACCAGAAATGGTGTATAAATGGAGTTGATCCCAAATTTGTAAAATATTCTGTAGAAACAAATGTGTTACACTTACTAATGTTTTCATTTGTTAGCGTTTCTGTAAGAAATTTGTTTGTGAACGCATGTTAATTTGTTAGCTAGCCTTCAGAGTCTATCAGAGCCGGTTTATGAGGAGCCTGGCCACTTCCTATTTCCCCCGTTATATCAAAAACAGGACTGCTAATCAGCAGAGGGCACCCGCGAGCGAGTCCTCAATGAATGGGAGTGAATGGAGCTCAACGGCTAAAAACGAGCAGTTAAAATAGTTTCTAATCACTGAACCAGAACTTTCCTTTAGTTTTAGAAAGTAGAAGGATGGATTTCACCAAAAAAAAAAAACAAAGAAATCTCACCTGTATGTTTCCTTTTTTCTACAGAAAAAGGTTTTGGACAGCAGGACGCTAACATTACTGCTACTGAGTGCTGATTGGTTGGCGAGCGGAGCAGATCATTGGCTGTTCGCGCTCACTGACGTCATGAATATACATGAGGCGCCGTTTTAAACTCCTATAACTCGAGTTTAAAAGCTCTTAAAAATATAACAGCGGTGTTAAAATATTTTATGCTGCTCTGTGTTCAGGAAATTATTGCATTCTTTTACATTAAAAATGTTTCAGCATTTATAAACTCTGATTTTGCTCAAATGCTCCATATAAACCCATTCATTTTGGACTCACTCGGGAGCGCCCTCTGGTGTTTGAGAAACCCAGATGACAGTGCAGAGTGGTACCTCCTCTCTACAGGTTCTCTGGTATCTCGACCTCCTTCGCGTCCTAAATGTTTATTCCGTCTCGCACGTCTTTTGTCATGTTTGGTTTCTCATATGTAACTTACATTACAGGAATCGGGCCACAAGACTCGGGAAACACCGCTCCGTGTAAAAGGGTCCCTTAAACTAATAGTGTAGAATTAGGAACCTTATTTGTTGATTTAGTCAGAATGAGGAAACAGGTTAGCGCTTCCCTTGTTAGAGAGAGAAACGCGTTGTCTTGCAGTGGAGGACGTGTTATTGAGAAACGTCCTGGTGTGGCATTGATTTCAGCAGAGAACCTGTAGAGAGGAGAATTCCCACTCCGCACTGTCATCTGGGCTTCTCAAACACCAGAGGGCGCTCCCGAGCGAGTCCAGAATGAATGGGTTGATATGGAGCATTTGAGCAAAATCATAGTTTATAAATGCTGAAACATTTTTAATGTAAAATAATACAATCATTTCCTGAACACAGAACAGCATAAAACATTTTAACACCGCTGTTATATTTTTAAGAGCTTTTAAACTCGAGTTATAGGAGTTTAAAACGGCGCCTCATGTACGTTCATGACGTCAGTGAGCGCGAACAGCCAATGAGCTGCTCTGCTCGCCAATCAATCATCACGCTCTAGCAGTAAAGCCCGCCTCCTGCTGCCCAAAACCCGTTTTCTGTAGAAAAAGGGAAACAAACAGGTGAGATTTCTTTGTTTTTTTAGTGAAATCCATCCTTCTACTTTCTAAAACTAAAGGAAAGTTCTGGTTCAATGATTAGAAACTATTTTGACTGTTCGTTTTTAGCCGTTGAGCTCCATTCACTCCCATTCATTAAAGACTCGCTCGCGGGCGCCCCCTGCTGTTCAGCAGCGCTGTTGGCCAGGCTCCTCATAAACCGGCTCCGATTTCAGTTCGTCAACTCACCTAAAATGGCGTCGAGTAACGGTAAGCGTTTATTTACTGTACTAATCCGAATTAAAACAGGTGTAGGTCACATCATGCTGCATTTACAACGTTTATACAGCTAAACTGTTATTTAACTGAATTCCCAGTTAACCAAGTAAAAGTGTCAGCCCTCCTGTTACCTTCAAATCTCCCAGTAAGGAGGTTCGGAGACCCCCCTGGTCAAAGTCCAGATTTTCTGGATTTTCTAAGTGAAAATTAAACACCACCTCCACAGAGAACACAGATATGAGATTTTTCTGCCAAGTTTAGTTTGACAAGCTGGAGAAAATACAATATAAAATGTACAGGACACATTTTATGTTTAGTATTTTTCCCCCAATGTTAAATTCTGTAAATAAACAGTAATTGTGCATTAAAATCTACAGAAATGTGTTCTGTGTAGAGGATGTGTTCACTTCTACATATGATTTTATACAGAGCAAGTACAAGGGAGAAGAGAATGTCTAACACAGCGTAATGTGGAAACTTGATAGACTGCAGAAATCTCACACCAATACTAGAACCTCACACTAAATCACAGTTGATCTGAATTTGCTCTGCTATCTGAGGTTGATGGTAATAATGCTTTCTGTTAAAACAGTTCTACAAGTGTCGGACGGCACACTCTGATTGAGAAGTGTTCAAAATAGTTCATTATTTTCATAAATAAATCATAAAAATACTTCACATCATACATACATTAACTAAAAATACTATGGATGATCCTTTGTTTCAATCCAAATATTTATTTAAGTTGAATAAAATTAGTAGGTTACTTGTTACAATGTGAAAAAAACATAGAAACCATCAAGGTTTCTGTTAGTTCCTGATTTTGTAAAGTTTTTGGCTTTTTTAAAGGGTTGATATCACAGTGTAAAGGAGCTTAACCTCTTATTCTCCAGGGTATGTTTTGGTTTGTCCATCTGAATTTTCATGACCAAATCGTAAGGCAAATT